TTATTATGCAAATCTGCAGTTATCGTGTATGTTCCTTTGGACTTGTAATAAGGAAGTATGTTCTAGTATTGAAGAAATAGAACCAGAGAGAAATAATGCTCAAAAAATTAAAAAACTGAAAAAAAAAAAAAAAAAAAAAAAAAAAAAAAAAACACCAAAATAGGGTAGCTTCCAGCTACCATACACGCCAAGAGTTAGCATGCCAGGCTGTTGGGCCTGACAAAGTGGTCCCTGGCCGCTGTCCGTAGTGCACTATTGGCAGGTCTGTTTTTGTTGAAGCTTCGGGTCACCGTGTGCCAGCCTGTGTATGTTGTCTTCTGTCTTTTTTTTTTTTTTTTTTGTAGAATCTAGGGCAGGATCCTGAGGTCATATACGTTACTCGAAAGGGAGTTCCAGTGTGATCGTAGTTTATAATAACAGCAGTTTTCATATGGAGTGCCTTCTACGTGCCAGACTCATTTCGTGGTAACAGCCTTGTTTATGGAGAAAGAGGAGAAAGCCTAAAGAAGTTAAACAACTTCTCCAAAGTCACACAACTCAGGAGTGTGAAAACTAAGATTAAACTCAGTTCAGTCTTATTCCAGAGTTATATGATCTTACCTTTTAACTAGAGTGGTTTTCATGCTTCACTTCACACTGAAGAATATGTAAGAGCTTTCAAAAGTGAACTTCAAAGAGCCCTCTTCGCTTCATCCAGTAGAAGGGCAGTGTATTTTCCAGTTCCAAATTTCTGGAGTAATTAGTTTTCAAAGAGCAGCTAGTAGAGGGGGGAGTACTTGATGAGTATGTATATGGAAAGCTAATGTGTTCTTGACATGTCTTTTTATTTGGTAAAGGGCAGCCATTTTCTCTTTAAGTCATTAAATAGAATTAGTTTAGGAAAGTTACAGATTAACTTGCAAATTAATTTTTTAGATTTCTGTGACTTCATTGGATTTGGTGCCCATATTAATGCGTTATAATATAGCCTTTAATTTGATATTTCTCACTGTTACTTTATAAGATCAGCCAGGTTCTTTAATATTAGAGAAAGAAACTGAACTGTAGACTCCTGACTGGCTAGCTGTTTAATTTCCACTGTTTTACTTTAAATCACTCTGATGCTATAGTTCAGTTTTTAACTTAACCTTAACCCTGAAAACTTCCATTATTAATTTTGAATTCATTTTGTTTAAAAGGATGCTTTTAAATCTCTTTGTATGACACTGCCCAGTTTGGTAGCTACTAGTAACATGCGTTAAGCGCTTGAAATACCGCTATTCTAAATTGAGATGTGTTGTAAATGTAAAATATGCACTGGATTCCAGAGATTTAAGAAGAAAACAGGATGTAAAAATCTCATATTTTTTCTGTTGATTACATGTTGAAATAATATTTTGGATATATTGGGGTAAATAAAGTTAATTTCACCTTTTCACTGTAATGAGGTTACTAGAAAATTTTTATTTGGCTTGCATTATATTTTCTGCTGAATAGTGCTAATATTTGTAATCAGTAATGTCAAATTATGTGCTGTAAAATTTAGACAAACCTAGTATGTCTGTATGTGCTGTTTTTTATCTTCTAGAAACTAAAGCTCACCTAATTATTGTCATAATGAAAATGTTTATTTAAATACTTGGACCTATATTGCTTGGGATTAAACTTGGGATAAGCCACATGTGGAAACTCCCGGGTACAGCTGTTGTTAGGGGAGGTGTGAGAGCATTAGTTAGGATGATAGGTGAAAGGAAGAGAACAGTGATGATTAATGTGATGCTAGTAATGCAGGTCATAATATGACTTTAGTGAATCAGACATTTCTTTTTAGAGAGAAGCTTAAGTCACATTGCTTCTTTAAGATATTTTCTTAAAATATTTCCAGTATTTAAGACATTTAAGATATTTTCTGTAGTTTTATTAAGAATAAATCATTTGAAACAAAATTGAAGGAAAAAATGGTGTTTCTTGGTTTGCAATCCTTTTTGTGTTGCTGGACTTTATTTTTTGGCCTTTATGAAATTTCATATTAGGGAACTGGATAATATTTACTATTCGATTAGGTTTTAAGATATTTTCTTAAATAAAAATAAAAATCATAAAGCTTTCTAGAAGTAAAATCTACTAATAAGCCCTACAGTAAGTCTCCTTTATAGTAAGTGGAAGTATTATTTATCTGACTCCTCTCGTATAGTCTGGAGGAGCTGAAGGATTAGTCTTTGTTAAATGATTCATAAATGGGTTTATAGTTAATTTTTATAAACAATATCAAGGTCATATGCTAAGTAATGTCAAAAATGTAAAAATATTTGTTCTGTTATTAGTATTTGATTCATTACTTGAGGTCCCTATTTGCTCTGCTAGGCACTTGTTAGATGTTTTTGTATTAGTTGGCTGTGTGGCAGCTAGGGAAGGAGGATGTACTAAAGCAACATAGCTTCCTCACTTTGTAATTTACCTCCCAGCTTTGTTTACCTGGCAGCACAGCCAAGGAGAAGGTGAACCAATGACATTCTTAAAGTTCACCTATTTAAGGAGTTATACACTAGGGTTCTACTTTCTTACACGTAAGACTCTTAATATATTTTCATATAAATTTTGCAGATCCTTCTGCTGAGGAATTGAGAAAACTAATGATGTTGCATGGAGGTCAATACCATGTATATTATTCCAGATCTAAAACAACACATATTATTGCCACAAATCTTCCCAATGCCAAAATTAAAGAATTAAAGGGGGAAAAAGTAATTCGACCAGAATGGATTGTGGAAAGGTAAGTTTAATTTTTTATTAAATTTAATTAATAAGTTTTTAAAATTGGAACACTATATATTTATTTATTTATTATTTATTATTTTTTTTGAGACAGGGTCTCACATTGTTGCCCACGCTAGAGTGCAGTGGTGTAATCACTGCTCACTACAGCCTCCACCTCCCAGGCTCAAGCAACCCTTCCACTTCAGCCTCCTGAGTAGCTGGGACTACAGGCATACGTCAACACACCTAGCTGATTTTTTGTATTTTTTGTAGAGATGGGTTTCACTGTGTTGCCCAGACTGGTCTCAGACTCAAGCAGTCCTCCAGCCTTGGCCTCCCAAAGTGCTGAGACTACAACCACTGTGCCTGGCCTATTTATTTCTTTTATAAGTATGTAACTAATGTATTGCCTCCTGATTGACAGGGTGAAAAATAATGTCTTAACACTACCCTTTAACCTCATGTTGATAATACTATAGCCTAGGATTTGGCATCCTAATAAAAGTAGCATGTTAATGTTTTTGCCAGGAGTTAGGGGTGATGACTCAGGAAAGTGTCAGAAAGCAATTATTGGAGAAGGTGGATCAAGCATGTTATTCAACAAATATATGTGCACCTCCTACAGACTAGGCGGTGTTCTGTGTTCTTGGGAAGTAACAGTGAACAAAGCAAAGATCCCTTCACTACCTCATGGAGTTTATATTCTGCTGGGAGAGAAAGAATGAGTAATGTATGAGTAAATTATACCATGTTGCCTATTATATGGGTTTTTAGCATATTAATACATCAAGATAATGTGGACCTAGAATGCTAGGAGTAGGGGAAAGGAGGGAGTACAGTTCGCAGTATTATTTACTGTTTTTTAATGATTATATTGTGGTTTCTCTGCTGTTGGTTTGGAAATGATCATTGTAAATCAGTGGTGGCCATTCATACTGACTTCCTAAGTTTAAATATGTTATCTGAAACCTTGGGGATGAGCCAAAACTTAAGTGGTTTATATTTTTAAATGACATGAGGGATACAATACATATGAGCAGTTGCTGATTTATAAAGATAGAATTAAAATATTAAAATAGTAATTTTATGTATGGATAGTTTATAATCAGTATATGAGAAATTGCTTATCTTTTTAAGTCAGTTGCTGAATTTTTTTTCTGGTTCTTGCTTTTACTAATTATAACACCCTCCATTAACTGTTCCACAAGTTATATATTAACTCAGTTCTTTTGTATAGTGTATTTAGCTGCATAAATTCACGGAGAAGCAACATGGTGGAAAAGGCTGCACCTGGGCTCTGGAGACATACTTGGCTTCACATCAAACTCGGCAGTCCAGTATCCATGTAACCTGGTATAATTTTAGAAACTTTATGCTTGGCCGGTGTGGTGGCTCACACCTGTAATCCCAGCACTTTGGGAGGCCGACGTGGGCGGAGACCAGCGTGGCCAAAATGGTGAAACCCCGTCTGTACTAAAAATACAATTAGTTGGGGGGTGGTGGCTTACGCCTGTAATCACAGTTCCTTGGGAGGCTGAGGCAGGAGAATCACTTGAACCCAGGAGATGGGAGGCTCCAGTAAGCTGAGATGGCACCACTGCACCAGCCTGGGTGACAGAGAAAGACTCCATCTCAGGAAAAAGGAAAAAAAAAAAAAAACTTTATGCAGTCACTCAGAACCTTGTTTCCTCATTTGTGAAAGAAGGCTAATATCTACCTGCTGTGGTTATGTGAGAGATAAAAATTGTTTGTCTGTACAGCCTGGCACAGCCTGGCGTGTTGTAGAGGTGTAATATATGAGAAGCTCCTGTTACTGTTTTATTTTTATTCTGTAACATTAACAATTAGAAAATTCCAAAAATTCAAAAGTACATTACTACCTCTAGAAAGTCAAATATATTAGCTGGGCGCAGTGGCTCACACCTTTAATCCCAGCACTTTGGGAGGCCAATGCAGGTGGATCACGAGGTCAAGAGATCGAGACCATCCTGGCCAACATGGTGAAACCCTATGTCTATCAAAAATACAAAATTAGCTGGGCGTGATGGCGCGCGCCTGTAGTCCCAGCTACTCGGGAGGCTGAGGCAGAATTGCTTGAACCTGGGAGGTGGAGGTTGCAGTGAGCCAAAGGTTACAATGAGCCAAGATTGTGTCACTGCACTCCAGCCTGGCGACAGAGCAAGACTCTGTCTCAAAACAAACAAACAAAAAGTCAAATATATTTGACATATTAAGGATTTTTTAAACTTTGAGGGATAAAGTTAAAGGCTCATCCCTATAACATCCCACTGATTCCTTCCTTTACACTGTGATCTCATGATCTAGCCACTGTCTGTCAGTGATATAGTATTGATTAAAATGGCTTTTAGGGATGTGTCTCTTCAGAGGACTTGTTCTCAGTATTTGAAGTTGGATCACTCACAGTTGAGCTGTGTTGTCACTAGAGCTAGAGTTTTTATCTGGGAGCAATAGTTAGGCTTTGGAGGGAATGGGGGATTTCTATGAGCAGGAGGAGCATCGAGGGGAAAGGGCTGTTGCTGGGGGGTTTTGATTTATGTAGAAAATGGTGTTTTCCGGCCGGGTGCGGTAGCTCACACCTGTAATCCCACCACTTTGGGAGGCCGAGGTGGGTGGATCACAAGGTCAGGAGTTCAAGACCAGCCTGGCCAATATGGTGAAAGCCTGTCTCTACTAAAAACACAAAAATTAGCCAGGCGTGGTGGTGGGTGCCTATAATCCCATCTACTCAGGAGGCTGAGGCAGGAGAATTGCTTGAACCTGGGAGGTGGAGGTTGCAGTGAGCCGAGATCACACCACTACACTCCAGCCTGGGTGACAGAGCGAGACTCCATCTCAAAAAAAAAAAAAAAGAAAAGGAAATGCTGTTTTCCATTACAGTTGAGTTTTTCGCACGTTTTCTTTTTGCCAAATGCAGCTAGGGAGATAATAAGATAGAAAAAGCAACTTCGATAATACGTTTTAAAATTCACTTTAATGGATTTTATCTTAGTGTGGACTGAGACTGAATCATTTGTCTTTAAGAGTGACTTTGGACAGCATGATTATATATCCTATTGGCCTCATTTTATATTTGAGGAGACAGGGCCAGTAGGGTTCACTAACTTGCCCAAGAACAGAGTACGTTTTAGAGTCCGGGTGTTCTGAATCCTGTTTGTGTCCTCCTTTACCATTAGATTCAGCTTGTTATAGATGGCCCATGGGGAAATGGATCACTGTTGGCATATGTCTCATATGTCTTAAATGCCAGGAGTCCATTATGTCATTGTAACATGGAATCCTTTTGGTTAAATCATGGCACTGTTTTTATTCACACTCTAATCCCTGGTTGATCTCTTCTTAGCTGTGCTTTAATGAGATTTTATTATACTTAAAAGTCTTAACATGTATTAGCTATTTAATAAATGATATATACTATTCTGAATAATTAGTTTTTGTTTTTATTCGAGCAGTTTGAAAAGAAACTGCCACTTGTAAGTACGTGGGGTGTTGCTTTCATTTCAGTTCCCTGAGGTCTGTATGTCAGTAGAACTGAGTTAATGTAGGCATAATCATTGTATTATAGGGCCCTGACTTTGAAGAGGCAAGGGAGTCCTTTAATGAGGAGCCTGTGTACGTTAAAGTCTGAAATTATTTTACTAAACCCTTTGTTTTGTAAATCTCAAACTTGTACATAGTGTATTGAAAGTAATGGTTTTAAAAATTTTTGTCACAGTCTTTGTCTTGAGACAGTTTTACATTGAAATTTGGAATGTGGAATAGATGAGAAGCTGCTATGACATACCCCACTGGCCCATCAAGCTTGAGGAGTGTCATGGAGCGTAATTTAAAAATATTGTGCTAAGTTACTACAGATTGTTCTTGTTTTTGTTGTTCTTGATTTTGTGTTGATCCTTGTAGATGGAGAACCTCGTAGCTTGGCCTTATTATATTTGTATATCCTGTAATTAGATGGTCACGTAGATCTGTTGGGAGTTGCGACAGAATGATAATTTATTGTTCCAGTTCATGCCAGCTCAATGGGATCTACTAGTAGAACTTTCAGTTTATCTTTTCTTTCTAAATTCCCAAACCATTTACATTTGTCATGTGCTTACATATGAGCCAAAACTTTGGTTTCTAATTACATTCAGTGTAAATATTAGAGTGCTTATTTAACTCATTTAAATAAAAATTGATTGCAGTTTTATCTCTCATTAGTTTTTTTGCCATTCCTTGTGTTTTATTTTGTTCTGCCTGAACACAGAGGCTATAGAACAAAGCAAGAGTAAGACTTCGCAAAATAGGTGAATATTTCACTTGCTATGACTATGTTTTGATTCGTTGTATAGAATGTAAACTCTTTCATATATATATATCAGAGTCTAGTTTCAATGTACATGAAAAAAACTCAGTGTATAAGGAAATCGTGTAGTATTATCTTTTGGATAAAGATGGATTTTTTTATTATCCTCTGCTTTTGGTTTTGAAAGAATAGTGGAAAATGTCAGTACAGTTTCTTTGCGCTTAGAACAAGAGGGGAAATTAGTAAATGTGAGAAATTAATCACAGATTTTTAAAAAGGTCTTATACAAATATGCTTTCAGATAATATTTCTGTCTATATCTGTAGATAGATAAATGGGTAAGCAGGGATAATTAGGAGTATACAACTGATAGATCAGTGGTTTAGGCTTCAAATTATAACTGACATTACTTGGCTAACATTACTATAGTGTGTTGGGCTTTAATTCTTTTTACTGAGTATCTCTGAGGATATCTGATTTGAGACTTGGAGTATTCAAATTAGCTGTCTAATTTTGTAGCAGTCTCCATGGACTGACTTATGTAATCCTAGGAATTCTGCGGGTGGCCACATGGCTCTTGTTAGGAGTTGGACAAGGCCTGACAGTCTTGTATATGATGAGTGCTGACCATAGAGAGCACCTGTAGAGTCTGCATCACTCCAGCATGCTGTCAGTAGGTCAGGAAAAGCGAGCATGATCATAGGGCACTTTGTTCATTGCACTTTGGTTTTACCTGAGTTGTGCAGCTGGCACAGTGGATGTAGTTTCACTCTCTACTTATTTCTTAGTTACAGCTATCTATGATAAAGGATGGAAAGCTAAGGTTGGGATTTTATTTTAGGTATTAAGTATCTGTACTTCTTTTGGCGGGGGAAGCAAGTGAGTTGATACACATAATACCACAGAACAAAGATTTATAGTTAGGCAATTGAGACCAACTATTAAAGGAAGAAAAGGGCCAGGCAAGGTGGCTCACGCTTGTAATCCCAGCACTTGGGAGGTGGAGGCGGGTGGATCACGAAGTCAGGAGATCGAGACCATCCTGGCTAACATGGTGAAACCCTGTCTCTACTAAAAAAATACAAAAAATTAGCTGGGCCTGGTGGCAGGTGTCTGTAGTCCCAGTTACTCGGGAGGCTGAGGCAGGAGAATGGCGTGAAGCCAAGATCGTGCCACTGCACTCCAGCCTGGGCGACAGAGTGAGACTCCATCTCAAAAAAGGGAAGAAAAGTTGGTTTGAGGAAGAATAAAGTAAAAAATAGTCTAATTTCAGGATTTTGATTCTGATATTTGAATGTAACCTGAAATTTTGAATGTGTTTGAATGTATTTTGAAGGTAACCTAAATTTTGATAAAACATTTAGCCTGCTAATAAATTCATTGGGTACGTGTCTTGTGACTAGTATAGCATGTTCTTTACTATCATAATTTAGTAGTTATAGCATTTGATATAGTTTAAGGTACTTTAGGTAGAATTTTTAAATATATATTGACATAATTATATAAAGGACATACTCTGTATCATATATAGTTCCATTTTTAGAATCTGTTAATATGTTTTCCTGTATTCCAAGTTGTTGACTCATTTATTTTTAATTAGTATTCTGTAAGCCAATTCAGTCATTTCTTAAATGATTATTATTTTTTAAAAAGTTTTGTGAGGCACCATTTAAGAAAATGAAAATATCAAGTCTTAGATTTATGAGACAATAAGAAATGTATTTTTATCATGTTATTTATCAGTCTTTTTCTAAATAACTAAGTGATGATTCCTTGGTATATATTTTAGGTTTAAAATCCAGAGGTGGTTTTGAAATATTTTCTAATTTGTTAAAGGAGCTTATTTTGAAATTTGGATGATAACCTAAGTATATTGATTGGTTGTTTTTAAATTTGAAGTTAAATGATAATTTTAAAGGTAGAGTAGCCATATATAACTCAGTTTATTAGCAAGAAAATATGAGTTTAAGATACTGCAGTCAAATTAGTTTTAGTTCTGAAGTACACAAGGAAGCAGACATTTGGGAGCTTCGGTTACAGTGCTAGTACCACCTAGCATTGTAATACTGGTGTTCCCTGGATTTGAGTGGTGATGTGTGATATGCTGTGAGGATGTACATGGTAGTTTTGGCCCCTGTAGAGTTCATATCTTCAAATGGCCTTGGCTCTTACCATTCCTGTATACATAAAAATAGTATAAATTATTACTCTTGAAGTTGAGATTCTTTAGTTTGTCCTATATTTTTATGAAGTTTCTGACATGAATTTGAAAATTTAGAATCCTTATTCAGTTTACTTATCCTGGAAAACCTTAATATATGAGATGAGATTTTGATGAAGTCTTAAAGATTCTGTCTTAACTGTTGACAGGGTGGTAAATATAAAGTCATGAGGATTAAAATATTGACTAGTTCAGCTCTGTGCTTGCAGTTTTTCCCCACTCTAAGATCATATTGTATTGGGACCACTAAAACTGAGCAGGAAGGAATAAACTAGGAAAACAGATGATGGCCTGTTGTTGGTGAAATACTGTATCTTTGAAGACACTGATTTTTTTTTCATGAAGCTCATTGTCACCAAGTATGGAACTCTAAATTGATGTTGCTTTTTGTTTCAGCATCAAAGCTGGACGACTCCTCTCCTACATTCCATATCAGCTGTACACCAAGCAGTCCAGTGTGCAGAAGGGTCTCAGCTTTAATCCTGTATGCAGACCTGAGGATCCTGTGCCAGGTCCAAGCAATATAGCCAAACAGTTCAACAACAGGGTGTAAGTTTGTCTAGTTGGGGATTACTGCAAAGCTGGGTTTTTTTTTTGGTTTTGTTTTGTTTTGTTTTTTTAAGACGGAGTTTCGCTCTTGTTGCCCAGGCTGGAGTGCAATGGTACAATCTAGGCTCATTACAACCTCTGCCTCCAAGGTTCAAGTGATTATCCTGCCCCAGCCTCCCCCATTACTGGCATGTACCACCACACTTAGCTAATTTTTGTATTTTTAGAAGAAGTGGGGTTTCACCGTCTTGGCCAGGCTGGTCTCAAACTCCTGACCTTGTGATCTACCCTCCTCGACCTCCCAAAGTGCTGAGGTTACAGGCATGAGCCACCACGCCTGGCCGCAAAGCTGGTTTTTATCAGTGAGCATGGCCCCTGCTCTGTTACAGACAGACAGAAGCAGATACGAACCCTGGCTATTCACTTATAATGAATATGTTGAAATATATGTGTATGAGTGTCTTACCTAAAAATGAATTATTTTTATGAAAATTTCATACATGTAAGTAAGATTTTACATTCATACTAGTTTCTCACCTTAAGCTAGTGGATCTTAATTGTTAGTAAGTTTTTTCATGGATTTTCATGAAAGTAATTATTTCCTCAAGTAATTTGTATTGCTTTCTCAAAAACTGAACTAACTGCACCAGCTATATTTTTGTTGTGTTCCATGCATAAAAAGACAATGAAAATGTTAACACTTCTGGGTTATTTTTGAAAAATTCAAAATTCATAACTACAATTCTAAATATGAAAATATATAAGTGGAAGTTTAGTTGGTGACCCTTGGTTATAGAATTGAGAGTGAATCTAGACTTTATTCCGTGTGGCTGCTTTTTTTTTTTTAATATTGATAAAAGCTTTAGTTGCAACCCTGGATAAATTGGTTTCACAATTAATTGGTGGGTTGCCTTACCTTGTATATCAAGTGGTTCATTTTTGTTAGCCTTCTCTTTATTAAATTGCTTGCTTTGGGAGTTGGATATATTTTTTTTTTTCCGAAAAGACCAGGAGTCTGATTAATCTGAGAGGATCCAGTATCACTGCCTTCTGTAATTTTTGTTGTCATTTGTTATTTAACTTGTACTCACAAACGTATTCAAATATTTTTCATGTTACCTATAGCTTTTAATTTTTCTAATGTGGTATCAAGGTATATAGCAAATAATACCAGAAAACCTTTTCACAGAATACATAGCTTTATCTTTCTCTTCTCACCCACATTAATAAAAGTAGAAAATAGATATGTTTTTTCAAGATCTTCTTTGTGACACTTTTAGGAAGAAATTACCTATTAGATTTTACTACTTAATACATTTATGCCATTGCCTAAGAAATGTAGCTCTACCCATGATATTTCCAGTATAGCTACTTTGCAAATGTCCATTTGTCTAGGCTGAGAAACTATATAGTACAGGAAGAATGTATGTTAACAATGTATTTTCCTGCCAGTATATGGATTTCTGTTGGATGTGTTGCTGTAATGCATGTAAAGGATCTTAATGTTTTTGACACAAAATTAGATGTAAGACTTTCTGATGTACGTCACTTTTGTTGTTTTCTGGGGGTTTTTGGGGGGTATATTCAGTACATTTTGTACATTTCTTTGAAATGCTCATCTGTGACATTTTGCTCCCTTGCATTCTCTTTATCTCAAGAGGCTTTCTCTGCATGTGACAAATTAAGTTTTCTTTTTTTCTTCTTTTAATCATATCCAGTTTGTCTTTTTCCCCTTCACTGGCATGATCATCTGTGAGGATGGCATCTACTCAGAGTTGCCTGTCACATTCCATGTGATGTTTAGCCAGGGCCTGAGCTAACCCTGAAATGGGTGATCATCCAGCTTGTGGAGATTTTCTGTGTAGTCAGGCTCTCATTACTGAGAAACCAAGTTGGTATTAGGATGAGGGACTTTTGGTGGAACCTGGTAATACTGTGGTAATTTCACCTGTGGCTTACTACTCTGTAGGGTAGCCCTACATCTGGAGCCTGCACTGTAATTGAATTAATGCTATGGACATTTGGACATTTCTAAGTAGAATGAATTACTGCTTTGTAATTCAGGTTTTTGTTTTTGTTACTTAGATGATTCTTGTGAATGCATTTCTAAACAAACGTCTAGAGGAGCCAGGATGTGACTTTAGCATAACATATGTCATAGGTTCTACTTTTATGAAGCTGTCATCAGGAAACTTGGTCCAGATTGCCTTGTACCACCCCGGCATCTAAATGTGCATTTCTTAAAATGAAGTGCAATTTCCCTTGTCAATAAGGCAAGTGTCCTCATTTTTCTGGGTGTAAATTTTACTGAATTACCCCCACACATTGACATGGCTTTACTTTTTGTCTACTTGTGCAACAATTAGCTCATTAATAGGTTAATCAATATAGTCACTTTGTTTCCTACTGAAACTAGCTGGCTTCATACTGGATTTAATGTGTCGAATAGTACCTTTCATAAAAACTAAAGCTAGGAATAAGAATTCAAGTAAGGTTTTAAAATTCATTTTTGTGAAAGTTATTTGTAGTATATTAATTCAGCAGATATTTATTGACCATGTAGTAAATGCCAAGCACTGTGCTTCAGAACTGGATATTTAGAGCTTATAGATTCCAATGAATTCTTTATGGAAAAAATAATTGAAAAGTTTTTTGGGTTTTTCTTCAGCCATGAGAAATATTCTATTTTATTTCTTCTTTGGTACTATCTGAAGTGAAAATAAAAAGCAAACAAAAAACACCTAAAGGGCTGTTAATATTCTAGAATTTTTCTAGTTACCTTGCTACTTTTGCAAAGAATGATCTTCTGTCAAATCAGAATATAAAGTTTGTGGTTTAATTTTCAGGGTTTTTTTTCATTGTCAATATTCAATATAAGAATTTCCTGGCTGGGCAAGGTGGCTCAAGCCTGTAATCCCAGCACTTTGGGAGGTCGAGGCAGGCGGATCACGAGGTCAGGAGATCGAGACCATCCTGGCTAACACGGTGAAACCCCGTCTCTACTAAAAATACAAAAAGAAATTAGCCCAGCATGGTGGCGGGCGCCTGTAGTCCCAGCTACTCCGGAGGCTGAGGCAGGAGAATGGCGTGAACCTGGGGAGCCGTGCTTGCAGCGAATTGAGATTGTGCCACTGCACTCCAGCCTGGGCAACAGAGTGAGACCCCGTCTCAAAAAAAAAAAAAAGTTTCCTGTTTCTAAAGAGAGAAATACCAAAGTGTGTACCACTAAGAAAATGTTGAAATGAAAAAATTGTTTTAACCTAAAAGTCAGACAGTATTAACTTAAAATTTTTTTCCTGCTTTAGAAATCACATCGTTAAGAAGATTGAAACAGAAAATGAAGTCAAAGTCAATGGCATGAACAGTTGGAATGAAGAAGACGAAAATAATGATTTTAGTTTTGTGGATCTGGAACAGACCTCTCCGGGAAGGAAACAGAATGGAATTCCTCATCCCGGAGGCAGCACTGCCATTTTTAATGGACACACTTCTAGCTCTAATGGTGCCTTAAAGACACAGGATTGCTTGGTGCCCATGGTCAACAGTGTTGCCAGCAGGCTTTCTCCAGTCTCTTCCCAGGAGGAGGATAAGGCTGAGAAGAGCAGCACTGATTTCAGAGACTGCACTCTGCAGCAGTTGCAGCAAAGCACCAGAAACACAGATGCTTTGCGGAATCCACACAGAACTAATTCTTTCTCATTATCACCTTTGCACAGTAACACTAAAATCAATGGTGCTCACCACTCCACTGTTCAGGGGCCTTCAAGCACAAAAAGCACTTCTTCAGTATCTACTCTTAGCAAGGCAGCACCTTCAGTGCCATCCAAACCTTCAGACTGCAATTTTATTTCAAACTTCTATTCTCATTCAAGACTGCATCACATATCAATGTGGAAGTGTGAATTGACTGAGTTTGTCAATACCCTGCAAAGACAAAGTAATGGTATCTTTCCAGGAAGGGAAAAGTTAAAAAAAATGAAAACAGGCAGGTCTGCACTTGTTGTAACTGACACAGGTAGATACTTACTAAAATTGTTTTCTTAAGAAACAGTCACGCTTGATCATTTTGCTCTTACGCTATTATTGGTATTTCTGGTCAATATGAAGTTTTCATAATACAAAAGTCTCAGAATGTCAAGTCATGTAATCTACAGTAAGCATAACATTATAGAAAGCTTATTTATTAAAATGTTTTTAAAACAATTAGATTTAATTGTGGCTGACTGAAAATTTTCAGAGAATTTAAACAGTAAGATGGTTGGGATTCTGAGCATTCATTCCTCATGTAGACCTTATCGGTTGGTGAAGTTTTGAACTGTGTTAATGTAACATCTATCCAGTGCTTAAACCCCTGTAAGAATGCAATTGGTTTGATAAGAGGAATTGTTAAATTTCTAGAAGCTTGCATCATAATGATTTTTTAAATCAGTTTTGACATAGAGCTGTTATAATTAACAGTGGTAAACTTTCAGTGAGGTTATTTGACATCTAAGTGCATTGATTCATTGTATTTTGAATTTTAATACTTTTCTTGTTATCAAAAACAAATGCAAACACAGTAGCAGACTGTGTTTCTGTGCCAGTCATAAATTAGTATCTGGTTTGAAGTTTAAGTTCCTTTTACAGATTATAGGATTTTTTTATGGGGAGAGACCTCAGAGATTAATACTATCCTTTAATTTATAGCTGTGGAAACTGAGGTATAGAGAGAAGCTCATGGTTCTGTCCTAGAAAGTGATAGAGACTCTATGTGGGGTGTTTTCTGTTATGTTTTACTGAGTTTGATGTATTCCTACGTACTTTTAGTCAAAAAATGCTTTTTGGTATTTAGGAAATATTTCAGAATAATATAAATACTAGATTATCCTTACATCATGTCTTGGCCTTGTTACGTGAGGGTTATTTAATTCTGAATGCTTCAGAGAACTATGATTAATTAGTTCTATGAATGGGAATAAAATGAGAAATTTTGTTATTGTGTGAAAGCATTTGGTAGATATTTGGCTTATGCATTCTGTACTACTTGAATGTTTAAAAGCATTATTTTGAGTTGCTTGCATTATGTTTATGTGATACTTTGAAAAATACTTCTATACAGCAGAATTGTGGTTATTTTATGAATCATTTGAGATAATATAGAGGGCAGTAAGGAAGTACCTGGCTTTGGAGTTAGATAGTTTAGCATGAATCTGAATCCTTACTCTGCCACTCTTATGCTGCAGGACTATGGACAAGTTAGTTCACCTCTCTGAGTCTTAGTTTTCTTTGTGAAGAGAAGTGATAGATAGTCCATGATGTTTGCCTCATGGGGTTGTGAGCTTAAGAATACATGAGCAGGCTGGGCACGGTGGCTGATGCCTGTAATTCCCACACTTGGGGAGGCTGAGGCAGGAGGATTGCTTGAGCCCAGGAGTTCAAGACCAACCTGGGCAACACAGTGAGACCCTGTCTCTATCAAAAAGAAAAAAAAAATCAGCTGGGCGTGGTGGCACGGGCCTGTGGTCCCAGCTACTTGGAAGGCTGAGGCGGGAGGATTGTTTGAGCCCTGGAGGTTGAGGCTGCAGATTCCACCACTGCACTTCAGATGGGGCAACACAGTGAGACCCTATCTCAAAAAAAAAAAAAAAAAGTGGGGAGAACTAGGTACATGCCATCTATTGCAGGCACAGTTTGGTAAATGGAGTGGTCCAAAACTGCTAGGGGATATCTGTTTTTGGTAGCCTATTATAAAGACTAACCCTCAGTAGTAATATTTTCAAGCCTGAGAAAAACTCCTTTATGAGATCAGAACTTTTTACAAGCTCAGGGTTCTTATTTCCAGAACTTGTGTATCTTAGAGGACCAGAGGAAAAGGCTAAGGATGAGACTGATAATAGAGGAAAGCTCTGCTTGTGCCTGGATTAGGGTTAAAATGACCCTGATGAATCTCATTGTAGCTCAGGATGATTAGAAGCTTTTGTCCTTAGGTGAGGACACTCACCTTTATCTCCTTAAATGTGGTCTATGTCATTCAGCTCTGATCTTTAATAGTATTTAATGGCATAAGGGTAAAAATTTACAGATTTATGTTTTATAGACTGTTTTTCAAGTACTTAGAACAGCAACATGGTAGTTTTAAGGCTCAGAAATCAGACTGCTTGGGACAGAATCACAGCTCAACCACTTAATAATAGGCTGTGTGACTTAAACTTTTAGTCTACAGAATGGAGATGATACGGTTACCTACCTCATAGTTGTGAGAATTTAAATAAATACATACATGTAAACCTCTTAACAGCAGTGCCTGACACCTACCAAGCACTGGATAATAGTAGCCATTTTTATTGTTGTTATTTTATCCAGGCGTGTTTATAGATTGCATGGAATAATGATCATCAAGATAAGTTTTACTTAGCTTCATGTAACTAAATGTATGCCAACACCTTTGTATTTTTATAAAATAATCAGCACAATGAAATAATTTTAAGATGTACTTTTTGACAAACTAATTAGAGACTTAATTAAATTGGGCTTCTCTTGAGGTGATAGCAATAATCTGTAGTCATTTCTGGTTTTTTAAAAAGACTCCATTCTGGGTGAAGCATGTTTTAAATATAGTTTCTAAAATTAACTAGACCTGATGTTTTAAATAATAAAAATTAGCTTGGGGTTTGAATGCTGTCTTTTTCCTTCTAGGAGATATGTCAGTATTGAATTCTCCCAGACATCAGAGCTGTATAATGCATGTTGATATGGATTGCTTCTTTGTGTCAGTGGGTATACGAAATAGACCAGATCTCAAAGGTCTGTATTCTTGCTTATGTTTTAAGAAAATTGATATATTGTTGTAAATACATATTCAAAGAGTTTACAAAATCTTTTTTTAAAAAATTGTGATTTTTCTTGGGAAAATCAGTTTTTCCAAATTTTCTGTATTCAGTTATCAAGGAAGGTATAGGGGAATTAGAGTTTTTCTTTCTCCCTGTAGAGATCTTCAGGGAACAATACTCATCTTCACCTGAAGGGTATGTCATCGAAGACTAATGTAGGCAGGATCTATATTGGGCATTTTCTAAATTTGTATCTGTATTCCTTGTTAATGGAAATTTTATGGTGGCTCTTGTCTGTGAGACTTGGGTCATTATGCTTTCTCTTTTGAGCAAATAACTTGATTAACTGTCTTGATGCCCATGAACATCCCAGCGTTTTGATTGTAGGATAATTTTGCATTATTGAATATTGCTAAAATATGTTAAGTCGTGTGGACAGTCTTTGTCTTAGTGAAATTGCAGATATTTGTGAACTAGTTAGTACTTTGAAAAGCATACATTCTGGGTTTTCCAGTGTTTGCCTCTGTCTGAAAGAGACAACTTAGTGTTTTCTTCCCTTAAATAAGGAATCACTGTGGCACAGAAGCTGCTGTGTTAAAACCAGGACTTTATTTTTGTCATGGGTAGTGGTTCCTCAGCTCTGAAAGGAGTTACTAGAATGTTAAATAATTGATTTTCATAGAGTAACTTTTTAATGCATTGTTGATTTTATTTATTGGTCCACAAAATAATGCATTCAGTAAATACATATTTATCCATGCTGTTGCTTTACAAAGTTAGAGTAATCTTGTAACTTAACACACATACAAAAGGAAATGATACAGGAAAGTAAGTTTATACTAAAGCAAAAATTGAGGGGCTGTATGCTCATGTTTGATAATGTGGTAGGTCAGATTGTGATTCCGATGTGTATGTATTTAGTTTCTGTTGCTATAAAATTGAGAGAGAAGTATAGATGTTAACTCTAGAAATACAAAAAAAGTATACTTAGTTTTTCTTTCCCCACCACTTAATGTCTGAATCTAGAGTCTTGAGTTGCCTGTTTTCTACAATACGAAATCAAACAAAAACCCTGGAAGGCTGAGTTGACTGCTGCTTTCAGGCTGAAAAAATGTATCAGAATGGTCACAAATAATTGGCTTTTTTGGAGGTGCTGAGAAACTTAGATGACATTTACATGGTGATTGATAGTCTTTAAAGTATTAGCTTCTTTAAGGATTAATGTCATAAGTAAAGGTAAAGAAAAAAAAGGCATGTTTTAAAAATCATTTGAAAAATTTTTGCTTACATGTTGTTAACATTCCTGTACCCATATGCAGAAATAATTTAATATTTTCCTCACAGGCAAACCAGTGGCTGTTACAAGTAACAGAGGCACAGGAAGGGCACCTTTACGTCCTGGCGCTAACCCCCAGCTGGAGTGGCAGTATTACCAGAATAAAATCCTGAAAGGCAAAGCAGGTACAAATGAGCTGTCTTTGAAGTCTTAGTGCTCCTGTGGACGGCTTCTGGATTTTACTGTTGGCATGGTTGTTACAGAAATGAGAGCAGAGTTGTAGCAATTAGCTTTTTCATTCAGGGCTTTTAAAGATTTCAACTGTTAGGTTTTGTTGAATTGGAGGGTGACATTTTCCTGAAATAGAGAGTGAAGAATGTTTTACAAGATATGATTGATTTGCTTTGTATAAATTTAGATTGGGGATAAAAATCAAGGGCATAATTTAAAGAAGCCTCTGTCTATTGTGAGAGTTAATTACTGGTCATTTGGTTATTGCATCACAGTAAGAATGTTAAAGTTTGTGTTGCTCAAGATATTTGTATGAGGAAGTAGGATAACAAACAGTAGAACCTTTAATTTATTGGAATTAAAAGTGAACACCAGTAATCATTCTCCATATCCTTTAGTGAACCTATTTGTTATGAGATATAACCTTGTTGCCTCTCTTGACTTTTTAATTTTGGATATTATTAAGCAAAATCATAAGTTGTACTAGTCATGATACTTATTAAGATTTTCATGTGTCTATTACTTTCTTCCCCTGAGTAAATTCACTGAGAAATGTTTTCTTAGAAATTAAATTTTTTAAATAATTGATTCGTTTTCTCATGGTTGTTTTGCAAAGCCAAAGAGAATTTTTTTAATTAGTTTCTCAGAAATATATTACCCAGAAAGTAGTCAGAAGTTAGATATACAGTGAAATGGAAAGCATGCAGTTTAGTTTTACTGCAGTTGTTTCAGTGCCCTTGTTGTCAGTTATAAAACGTTGGGCTTACTTCTCACAATGACTCCAATGAAATTAAGGCAAAAGGAAAGCCAGCGAACATCTCTGAGGACCGTTTTTGGGATTATAGTCTTTGTTGGTTTTGATCATCTGTTTATGTGGTCTTAAGTATGAAAGAACATAATTGTGGATACATGTTTGCTTTGTGTGTACATTTATTTCCAAGTTTTATAAATGTTTTCTTGGTCTTTAAATCTTTGCAGAGATTTTTGAGATTCTAGAATTTTGTGTGTCATGAGTAGGTGTGGAGTAGCTGTTACTGAACTTGACATTTAGTTGTATTATGGTATAGGTAGTTTAAGTATTGGTAGTATGGTTTTTGTGGTAGGTTGGTTTTTCTTTTTGTATTTTCTATGTGCTATTAAACAGGTGAAATCTTAAGTTCTAGAAAATAAGAAATAAATAGCTTAAGGAAGTACACAATACTTGTCATATATTAGGCATTTATGAAATACTAAAGAATGTTGAAAGAAGAGAAACCACCATGTATATGCGTGCAGTAGCATCTTCAGTGCTCAGAGTCTCTCTGGCGGGTAGTCTTGCTACACACGTCCTTCTATCGGCAGAGTCTGCATTTCAAATTGTGACCTTGACAAGCTCACATTCCTTAGGAGTAGCAGAGAGCTAGTTCTCTTTTGTCTTTTCTTCTGTTACAGACAATCTTACTATAAATGGTTTATTAACACAATACTGTCATTGGTTACTTAATTGTCTTCATCAGTTTAGTCACCTAATTTTTACAACATTTTAATGACCTTCTATAATCACATCCCCTTCACATCTAAATGTGGGTGGTAAACCAGAAGGGAAGTATTAGGAGAAATATTTAAATTTCACTTGCCATTGAAAACTGTCAAAAGGAGATTGTCCCGTCACTAGAAAAGGTGATATGACAGTTTGTGTTTTATACTCTTACTTTAACTTGATGCCATTTACTTTTATATGCTAAGCCTTTTCATGCATTAGGAGCTCACCAGATTATTTGCTACATATAAAATGAATAGATTATCCTTTATTATAAAATTTGATTACAACTAAGCTTGTGCTCAGAACTTTTTTCAATGCTTTTGTTCCTCTTTGCTTGTTATTCCCTGATCTTTCTTTCTCTGGGTCATTATCAGACATGGCACCAAATAGAAAAATATTGAGGATCAGTTTAGGAATTAGAATCTTTGGCTTCTGTGCACTAGCTTTGGAAAAAAAAAAAAAGATCAGTCTAATGTTTGGCTTATATGTCTAGACAACGTATTAGGACAAATAGCATCCTTAGTCCTTTTTGAAACTTTAGTTTCTTAGTTGTCATATCCAAAAGCTCTTTAATTAGACCAGTGCAACCAGAGTATCTCATCCATCCATGACTTCTTTTGGAGGCTGCTTCCTGAGCAATACTCAGTAGTGGCACTTCTCATTGATGATCTCATTGTTTGGAACAATTTATGCTCCAAATTTCATGGTTGGGGCCTTTTACCCCTTCCTGGATTTCCAGGATACAGATGTTTTCTATCCCATCGACAGCTTCAGTTTTCATTCTAAAGAACAACAGTTTTAAAAATCGTATTAGTCATAGATTTATTCTCAGCGATTTCTTTTTCACAGACTTGGGTCCTGGCCTCTGATTTCTCCAACCGTTCCTCCACATTCTCCATGTGCCCGTCTAGTTTGTCAAGTTTTGATGAGCAGTTCTCTACTTTGCCCTCCAGTGAGGACAGTGTGTCCCTGCATTTCCCTGAATCTCACATGAAGCAACTCACTCCGCTCGTGGAGGGACCCACGCATTCTGCTGCACTGTGGAACAGGTCAGCCAGCCCAATGGAGAGGAACACGGTGGTGCTGCCTCTCAGGCCAGGGCATTGGGGGCGCATGGACCACAGAGACTGTTCTCTCCTCAAGCATAAGTTTTCTGTTATTTTCAAGACAGTGTCTTAGATAACTAGCCCTTCAGATATCAAAGTCAGGTAATTCTCCAACTTGTAAGGCATAACTCATGGTTACACCATGGTTACAAGACGGTTGTGGCTGTTCAAGCTTCAGCACTCCTTTTTTTGGGGTCTAGTAGCACCCTCTGTTGAAGAGTGATACTGACAGTCCTGAAATTCTTACAGTTTTTCAGCTTAGATGAATGGACTATTAAAATTTATATTTAGCCTTTTAAAACCGTCCAGAAACACTGGGTAGTCTGCTTGGGATTCTGTCTTTAATTTGTAATAGTATAGCTAGCATATGTTACTCATATGTCAGAAACTATAGCTCACATTACACACTCAGCTGTTTTGAAGCAAGTAGGATTTGACCCCACTGAGATGCCAATCAGTTTGATTTGCATTTATGCTGTGTATATATGGTTGCTGAAATCCAGAAATGCTTGTATGGGTTGCATAGTTAGATGAAAGATGTTGATGATTACTAGTCAAACCAGGAAGAGTTGTTTAAGCCCATGAAGCCAGAGACTTTGCCAGTTTTCCTGGTGGTGCATTAACTTGGCTGACTTTTCACAGAACAGTAAGTCTGAAATAAACAGAAGAGAAATGCTGGGTTTGTTAGTTATGTATTGTTACAGTGTACTCACAATAGATTTGTCTGGAATAGCTGAAGTGATATATTTTGGCTTTGTTTTACTAATGGTATTTTTGTTTATAATAGTAGAGATGTGGCTGAGATTGTGGTTTTAGAATGTGGTTTTTTTTTTTGTTTTTTTGTTTTTTGTTTTTTGTTTTTTTTTTTTACAGCATACTCTTCTTGGAACCTAATAGTAGTATCCCAAGAGACCTACGATGAAGTTGTGTTTTAATTTATTTCTTAATTACTAGTGAAGCTAAAGGTGGCAAAGGAAGTAAAGTGGCGTGCAGCCAGTAGGCTCTCCAGAGTGTGTGCTTTTGTATTCTTGTGTAAAGTTGTACGTTTGGTTCGGATGTTAAGACATGTTGGTAAGCCACACTGAGCTCCAGCTGTGTTTTCTAAAGCATCGATACTCTGATCACACTTGAATGTTTTTAATTGAACATGCATTATTAAACCAAAATACAATTACCTGTAGCAGGGGATAATGTGACGTCTGTTCAAAAGAAAAAGCTTGAATTTAGAATGAAACCTCTTCATGGTTTGTGACCTACTAAATTATTGTTTGATCAGATAGATGGTAGGAATTTCATGTTTGTTGTACACGTTAATTAGCTTTAAGTTTTGCAGATAGTTCTTTTAGGAAACAGCAACAAATATTCAGAGAAATTTATATTTTTCATTAACTTTTCCCCATTACCGAGAGCTGTACAGTCCTTGTAAGGTTATAGGAGGGAGTTCATCTCCCTGATCACTTCTCATCCGTGTCCACCTCAAGGGACTGTGTTATAGGATATTCTATATTTATCTTCTGGTGTATTTTAAAAAAACAACTCCCAGGACACTTTGAATTTATTATAAGTTTTTATCTGCTGGTGAAGAATATAATGGAAGCAAACCATTTTAGAGTTACAGAGTTTTCTTTTATTAGATAAGGAGATAATGCCAATAGAGATAACTGTATTTGGAATTTACTAAACATTTTTATATGAAAGTAATGGAAAACAAATTTCTTGAAAAAGTTACGGAAAATCAGTTTATAACAAATAACCATTAATTTTTTTTAAATTTTTAAAGCAGATACACCAGATTCATCACTGTGGGAGAATCCAGATTCTGCACAAGCAAATGGAATTGATTCTGTTTTGTCAAGGGCTGAAATTGCATCTTGTAGTTATGAGGCCAGGTATGTAGAAGTTATGTGTTATAATTCTTAATGAATAATTTGGTTAATTATTTTTATATAATTTTTTGAACTGTAATCTTTTGAAGTGGATTCAGACCTGCCAGTCAGGCCAGTGATTTAAACGTTACAGACGTGTTATGGAGATAAATGGTTTTAGCCTTAAATCATTTCATTTATGCCCCCCACAACCCCTCACCAGTGCTAGATAACTTTAAACAAACAGCTTAGTAGTTCCCTGATGAGAACCAATAGGTCCTGTAGTAGGAACCAAAAGACATTGGGGATTGTCATTTTTATTGTCTTTTGAAGCATGAAATAAAAGAATTAGATTGTTTTTGAATGGAAGAGGACTTTAATATTTATTTACTCTAATCTTTTGTTTTTGTTGCTAAGAAAAATCTCTTGTAATCCATTCTTCCTGATACTCAGTTTTTTTTTAATGTTAAAACCGAATTGCCTATTCAATTGTAAGTAATTTAATTATTAACATTCTTAATATCTCTTCACTTAAAAGTGGTAATAGTGTTGTCAGCTTGTTAGCACCAACTTTTTGAATAGGTGTTTATCTTATAGTGATCTGAAACCATAATTATAATTGGCTGTTTGTATAGGAAGAAACACACACACATATATATATATTCCTCATAATTTAAAAAATCTTTTTGAAATAATTGGAATAGTTGTAAAAGTAGAGGGAGTAATAATTAAAGAGAAGTCTTAATTTTTTTTTCCCTGTCGACCGAACACAGACATTTTTACCTGTATAACACAGCAAGCCCTTACACATAGCTGGCAAGTGTTAAAGTATTCAATAATTTCAAAACGAAACAGTCTTAGATCAGTTACATTTTTTTTTTTTTTTTTTGAGACAAGTCTCGCTCTGTTGCCCAGGCTGGAGTGCAGTGGCACCATCTCAGCTCATTGCAAGCTCTGCCTCCTGGGTTCACGCCATTCCCCTGCCTCAGCCTCCCTAGTAGCTGGGACTACAGGTGCCCACCACCACGCCCAGCTAATTTTTTTGTATTTTTTTAGTAGAGACGGGGTTTCACCTTGTTAGCCAGGATGGTCTCGATCTCCTGGCCTAGTGATCCACCCGCCTCAGCCTCCCAAAGTGCTGGGATTACAGGCGTGAGTCACCACGCCTGGCCCAGTTACATCTTCTTAATCTTGATTCAGAGTTGTAGCTATTCAAGCATCTAATCTGAAGAAAAGATATTTGAGCTCAGCATCGTCTAATCATAATAGTTTTTTTTTTAATTTGCTAATTTTTTTTAAAGTATATTTAAGTAAAAGCATTAAGTTTAAACATGCATGCTTATATTTTAAATTGTTTTCCATTCATGACATGCCAAACTTTTCCTCCCAGGCTGACTTTGCCTTTCTCATTGACAGAATTATGTTTTAATGGTTTTCATTGTCACTTGATGCTGTGGCCAAGGAATTGAAACTCACTTTAAATTAAGTCAAATACAAATACGTTTTGAATTGTTATACTGCTTTTTATTAGCACAGGCACTCTAGAGCTGAGTTTATGTAGTCTCTTTTTTCCTACTAAGTTATTGAATGGTGGCCTGGACTTCAGATGGCTAGACAGTTACGTGCAGTATCTGGAGGGTGTGATGAAGCCCAGAAATATTCTCAGTCCTTGAATTTCGCTAGTTGGTAAAATGCAAGCTCCGTTTACCCTTGCTAGACTGCCTCTGCAGGGTCTCCCTTCATACCTTCATACCCAGTCCCCACCAAGATGAATGCTGGCTGGGAAGCAGGACTGCCTCCAGGTGGAAGTGTCACCAGCTCTGGTGGCTTTGGACTCCAGGAGCCACAATTGTGTCTAGGCACGAGGCTTCTCTTGGGTCTTTGGATGGTGCATTTGTATTTATCCACGGATGGTGACTGTCAAGCTTCATGCCTTGCAAAATAATTGGGGTGACAATATATGAGGACAGAATACTATATAGTGAGCCATTCAAGTGCCACTTAAGTGCAGATGTTTAAGAAGATGCATAAAGTGATGAAAATGAATTTAACTTGAAGAAAAAAAGTGCAACCATGAGATTTTTGTCCCTTAATTGTAATTTTCTGTTTTCTAGAAGACTATTCCTAGTGAAAGTTTCTAGAAAATAGTTTCTGGATACTTGTTTTGTGGCCATCCAACGGGTTATATTTTCCTTTTCTGAGGAAAATTTTTTTAACAGGTACAAGTAGTTGCATAAGAGAAATGTTTCTGAGTTTGGAGTGGGGGCTAGATTGTGGGGATGATCTGCTCAGTTTTATGCACTGGTGAGTTTTCACTATGCATAGCCTAATAACGGGGCCAGCAAAGGATAGAATGTGAATATGAAATGGTAGAAATACAAGGTAGAATGTGTATATGTGGGTCACAGTTTGCACTGCTGTTAGTAGTTGGCCTATACTTACAGTGGAGAGCAAACTTTGTATGGAATAAATGAGAAGAAGGCAGATTGTACATGAATAGGTAATGATACACAGGTATCCTAGAATCATAGATTTTTAAAGTCAAATAATTTCTAAACCCCGTTTTCACGTGCTTTTGTAAGGACCCCTACCTTTCTTACTTTATGGATGTATTTTAGTATGTAGAATGGACAGCGACAGTGGTTTGATGGCAATTTTCTTTTTCCTCCTGGAGACGAAGTCTTGCTCTGTTGCCCAGGCTGGAGTGCAGTGGTCCTTTCTTGGCTCACTGCAACCCCTGCTTCCCGGGTTGAAGCAATTCTCCTGCCTCAGCCTCCCGAGTAGCTGGGATTACAGGCTCCCGCCACCACGCCTAGCTAATTTTTATATTTTTAGTAGAGGTGGGGTTTCACCATCTTGGCCAGGGTGGTCTTGAACTCCTGACCTCGTGATCCGCTCGCCTTGGCCTCCCAAAGTGCTGGGATTAACAAGCGTGAGCCACCGCACCCGGCCAGCAAGTTTTTAATATTGTTGAATCCAACACCAAATACAGCTGTCTGAACAAAGCATATTGCCAGACAGAATATGTCCTCTGTGCTTTGAACGTGGGAATAAGCTGTTTTTGCAGCATACACTTAACGAAGTTTTGGTAATTTGTCCTGCATGGGATTTTAGTTGTAATAGATGAGTCATGGTAATGAAGAGTCACTTTGGACTTTCTTATAATTGTCTTTACTCATTTATTTTCTATGGAACAAACCTCATTTCCCAGCCATCTTCAAGGTATTTGGCTTCCCTTAGTATGGCAAACCTAAGGCAAGCCAAAGGAAAAAGGTTTTCCTTTTTTGTTTTTAACTTCCTTATAGTGTCTAATGGCTTTTCAACAGTTTTTTCTGGGTACATTTTACATGAGTACCTAAGTAGATGTACCATACTTTACTAAGTAATGTGCCTCGGAAAATTTTTGCATAAATAAATGTTTTGAAAATGAAAATATTGTAAATATAAGAACATGATCTTTACAGGGATTATAAACACATTTCTTTTTCTTTCTTTTTTTTTTTTTGAGACAGTTTCACTCTTGTTGCCCAGGCTGAGGTACAGTGGCACAATCTTGGGTCACTGCAACCTCCACCTCCCAGGTTCAAGCAATTCTCTTGCCTCAGCCTCCTGAGTAGCTGGGATTACAGGTGCGCGCCACCACGCCCAGCTAGTTTTTTTTGTATTTTTAGTAGAAACAGGGTTTCACCATGTTGGCCAGGCTGGTCTCAAACTCCTGACCTCAGGTATCCATCCACCTTGGCCTCCCAAAGTGCTGGGATTACAGGCGTGTGCCATCACGCCTGGACTATAAACATATTTGGTTTTTTTTTTGAGATGGAGTTTTGCTCTTGTTGCCCAGGCTGGAGTGCAATGGCATGATCTCGGCTCACCGAAACCTCCACCTCCCAGGTTCAAGCGATTCTCCTGCCTCAGCCTCCCGAGTAGCTGGGATTACAGGCATGCGCCACCACTCCTGGCTAATTTTTAATTTTTATTAGAGATGGGGTTTCTCCATGTTGGTCAGCGTGGTCTCGAGCTCCCCACCTCAGCCTCCCAAAGTGCTGGGATTACAGGCGTGAGCCACCGTGCCCGGACTTATAAACACATTTTTAAAAAATGAGTTATCTTTAATTTGTAAACTCAGCTTTTACATGTTGAATCTATGTATCTGGCATAATTATTACCTGAAGTTTACCCTTTTCAACACTAGACCTTTTTTCTGCTTTGTTTCTGATAATGTTTCTAAACTATTTTATGTTTCTATATATATGTCTAAACTGTTAGGTATCTACTTTCCTGCATTAGTGGACAAAGCTTGTTGACCATAGGCCATCTTTTCTAGGCGAGTGCAGGGTTGTCCCCATGGACATCATGGAGTTTGCTTTATTTGCCATCCTGTACCCAGCACCTCGCTGAGTCCTCGACACATTAAGAATTGTTTTCTTTACGACTCTGTCATTTACCTTCCACTTAGGTATTTCTTATCTACTAGAGACTTAGCACTGAGACCATTTATAACATTACTATTTTTAGAAACATAAAAAGTGCATGTGATTTTGCATCTACCGCTGAGTCTCTTGGAGGACTCTTCCTTCTTGGCTCTCAGAGGCTGAATGTTGGGAGGGTGCCAGAGGCCTGTGAGTAATTGGCGATTGTTTGTATATATGTTTCTTAAAACGGGGAACGTCTTCATGCTGTGTAGTTAGTAAATATTTATTGAACAGATACATCAAATGACCATTATCGTATTACATAATAATATGTAATTTAGTGAAACATTGCTTTATTATTTTGCTTATTTTTACTCTAATTTTTTTTTCTTGATTCTTTACAGAGTGATAAAATAGAATGTTACTAATTATATATAGTTCCATAATTATAGTTTTGTGGTGAATGCTCCAAATATCAAAGGTAATGTGGGGCATTGAGACACACAGATTTAAAATTTACCATTTTCAATTAGGTCCCTCAAAGTTCTGGAACCCTGGCTCCTGCCCAGAGTGATGTCCTACCATGTACAATGCTGTTGGCATCTCAACCACTGTGGAGCCACTTCAGGAGCATGGAATTGGTCAATTGGGAATTGGGTGGTAATAGGATGAGTACATTTTGTCTGTTTGTCACATAGCACTGTTTTGTGTAGTTCTTTTGTTTATATTCTTTGTCTTTGGGGGATGAACCCTGGCCAAACTGTGCCATGTATTAGGGGAAGAAAACCTCTTTTTGACAGCATATTCCTGCTCTGTGGTGGTTGTGATATCACCAGCATATGGCATGCTGGCATCTCTGCAAAGGGGCCAGAGGTATGAGTTTTATGAGAAAGCTTCAGATACAGACAAGAGCCAAACCTGGTCTTTTAATGACATGGTTGGCACATCTACATGTGTCATGTTTGCACTGTTGAGACAGTTGTGACTTTATTTGGGGGGAAAACAAGCCTGTAAATTTTAATGCCTATCTTTAACCCCTATTGAGAATGGAGTTCAGTGGAAATTATAAATTAGTGGCATGGGGAGATACCAACATATTTGATAAAATATTTGAGTTAAAAAATTCCTAGAATAACTCCATTTGTGTTTTGTTCTCTCTCTAGGCAACTTGGCATTAAGAACGGAATGTTTTTTGGGCATGCTAAACAACTATGTCCCAATCTTCAAGCTGTCCCATACGATTTTCATGCATATAAGGAAGTCGCACGAACACTGTATGAAACATTGGCAAGGTACAGTGTATCAAACTGTCATTTTGTGTTTGTTTTCCTTCTCTTAGCTAATAGTAAAGATAGTTCAAGTTTTCTTTAGGATTGTTGGGATCACTTTTGTTAGACTTTTCTCTCTCAGGAACCGCTCCTCAGCATCCCAGGTTGAGACCTTCTTTCTTTGGGCAGTTTCCAGGTAGCTCAATCTCAAAGGATAGTTTTGTATTGCCACAATTGTTCATGTGCTTCCTTGGTTGATGTAAGATCTGATCATTCACTTACGTTACTTCTAGTCTGTGGTTCTGGTTTCTTCCCATGGAGCCAAATAGATGAAGGATGGAATTTTTTAACCTGGTTATTCTCTTTTATTTCATTTAAATTATGGTTTTGTTCAAACTTAGAACCGATGGGTTGATAACAAGTGGAGACACTTTAAAACCTTTATCTTCTTAAAAATCATTGGATGTGCCAAGAGTTAGTTTTCATAAAAGTGGGTCTTTATTAATAGTTTCAAAATAGTTGATGAGTTGGCTTGAGAAAAGGTGATTAATGCTAAAAATGTTTAAAATCGTAGATGTATTTAAAAATATTTTAAAATGTAGATATATTTTATATTAACTTAGAACTGAAATTTGTTAAAAGTATAACCAGCCTATGTATGCTGTAAACCAGGGGTCAGCATGGTTTTCTGAAGGGAGCCAGATAAAGTTTCTGTCACTCAACAGAAGTACTCCATTCTGCGTTGTGAATGGAAAGCAGCCATGGGAAATGTATATGAATGGGCTTTGTGTAGTTCCAGTAAAAATGCATTTACTGGATGTTAGGCCAAGGTTTGTCAACTCCTGGGCAGTATTAATGTTCCAAGAGATAGACTTCTTGCCTCTGTCTTCACCTCTGCCTCTTCCTTTTTATGCGTTAATTTGAACACCAGTACTGCTAAGTACAGGTGACTGCTAGATGCTGCTAGTCTCAGAAAGGAATATCTAATCCTTGCCCTTGTGGGAGTTTGCTTTAGTAGGAGAGAGAGAAAATGTAAAGGAACTGATTGTTTCCTGGCATCAGTATATAGGAGGGAGTGCTGAATGTTAAGCCACTTATTATAGCTATCCTATTAACACAAAGAGAACACACTAATTAACTTTCCAGGTATGAGCTGGGTAACTAAATAAATAAATCCCAAATACAGGAATGTTGGTATTGTCAAGTGGAATGTGCTTTAAATCCTCTTTGAAAGGTGAAGTCAGTGGTAGCATCCAAATGAGGGCTAGATAGGGATGGGTGACTGAGGTGAGTACTGTGGTGCTCCTGTGTCCTGCGTGTTGAAGCCCTAGAGCAAACCATCAGCCTGTGCCTGAGGTTAGGAGGATGTGAGAGCGAGCTGTGACCATACTCTACACAGTCACATGCACACAGTCCTGGTAGAAGGCTGGAGACAGTTTCAGTGGCATGTTTCTGTTCTCAGGGGAAAAATATCCAGTGTTGTTATTCTGCCACCCTTGGGAAGTCCTGTCTCAGCTTCATATTCTCCCTGCCTCAGGGCAACTTTCACTCTGAAGCAAAATACCTCATACCAGTCATACCCTTCTGTTCTTAAAAATGTCACAGTTTAAGCCTAAACAAAACATACCTATTTCTTTAATGTAGGGAGATTATTTCTTAATAGAGATGTTAATCTGATTGTAATCTGCCTATAGTGAGGTGTAGGTGAGAGATGGGGATTGCCCTCCTGGTGTACATCACCGTGTGGATTATGAGAGACATAGTTAATCTGCCTATAGTGAGGTGTAGGTGAGAGATGGGGATTGCCCTCCTGGTGTACATCACCGTGTGGATTATGAGAGACATAGTTAATCTGCCTATAGTGAGGTGTAGGTGAGAGATGGGGATTGCCCTCCTGGTGTACATCACCGTGTGGATTATGAAAGACATAGTTTTGATCCTTAGGCCTCTTAGGTCTCCTCCCATTTTCGGTCCGGTTCTGTTTTGTGGTTTCTTAGTCCTTATGTTCCTCTGGGGGCCACATAGGAGCTCGTGTCTTCCTTTTTCTTTTCTCTAATTACAACAGATCCTTTTTGTGGATAGATCCTATGAGATGATTTTTTAAATGTATTTCCAGATGCAGAGAGTGTAGATGCTGTTCTCAGACAAGCGGTTGGGATGACTGGCCACTTTTTCCTTCTGTATTCTAGGCCTGCTACAGTGAATGGAATTTAACTGATATTTTTGTTTTAGGAGAGCGGGAATTACTTATTTGACTGATTTGTCTCATTTTTCTGTTCCTTAAAGGAGTCTCATAAACCATTAGATTAAATGTTTTGACAGTTCAAATTCACCCACCAGTTTTCAACTTTTCAAAGGTTTATAGAAGTATTGTCAGTATAGAGAAACTGAAATAATAATTTATGCTGTATTTTTGTTTTTTTGTGTTAAAATTTTTTTTTGTTGGTTATTTTACTCCTCAAACGTTTTCGTATCCTATATGCTGTATTTTGGTAGTTAATAAGGAGAAAGAGAACACACTAATTAACTTTGTAGTTAAAAGTTAGGTGACTAAAATGGTACTTCAGCCAATTCATTTAAAATGCCTTGTGAGGAAATAGAAAAAAGATAGGGTAAGAAGCCTTTATTTTGCAACATTGGGTCTACCAGATGGTGGCTGTGGCTGTGATTCGTTGCCTTTGCTCTGTGTTGATAGCTACACTCATAACATTGAAGCTGTCAGCTGTGATGAAGCACTGGTGGACATCACCGAAATCCTTGCAGAGACCAAACTTACTCCTGATGAATTTGCAAATGCTGTTCGTATGGAAATCAAAGACCAGACGAAGTGTGCTGCCTCTGTTGGAATTGGTTAGTATCTAGCTTATCTTGTACTCAAAAGAGTTGCTTTAAGATTCTTGAATTTCAGTTAATTTTAAGGAGTTTTTGTTTTTATTAGCTTCCTCTCACTTGTAAAAGTTTTTAACATCGCTTGCAATTGTGTGATACACGAGATGAGTGTTGGGAATGTAAGTAAGTGGTTGATAATCTTCACAATAAATAAGTTGGAATATTTCTTACTTGTTCTTAAAAGATTGGAAAGGTTTAATTCAACGTTTGTAAACAATTTTTTTCCCCCCAAAAGTGAACGGAAGTTGTATTTAAAGCTAGGTGGTGTATGGGTTTAGAGTTACATGTTAAGTCTGAGTCTTGTTACTCTCTGCACCTTAGCCTCCCGGCACATGGAGCTGTTCCTGTCTTCACTCAGTTCTAGAAGTCACCCTGACTCCGAGTGCTCTCAGTAACTCTTCAGTCTCTTCTCCATCTGCATCCGTGCCCTCTTGAAGCCTTGCATTTTGTTTCCACAGCTACTCCCAATACTTACCCTGCTTTTGTTGATTCTTCCAGCCGTGTCCTCTGGAACTCTCTCTTTCATACTTAAGCTTCCCCGAGTCACCTCTTCCTTTCTTAACCCACTCATTACCTTCTGGCAAGATACCCCTTTTCTTGCCATTCTGTTACTAGAGCCAGTTGGTCGCTGCCATACTCAGTATACCACAGGCTTGGAAGGTAAAGTTAACTTTGTCTTGGCTTGCCATTGTCACTTTCAACTATTATTCCTCCATCTTCATCCAAAAACTCTTCTTCCTCCAAAGTTCCCTGTCTCCTTTGTACCCATGAAATTTACTGATGACTGAGTGGTGATGCAGAGAGGCTAATGCCATTGAAAGAAGAATTTGTTACTTCCGTTTCCCGAGAGGAGGGGGCATACCATGCTACACAGGACTACCAGGGAAGCACCAGGGTGGTTAGGAGACAGAAGCGGGAGGAGTGATGGAACGAAAGCCTAGGCTCCAGAGCCTTTGTTAGCGTTTTTTTGTTTGTTTGTTTGTTTTCAGAAAGGCAAGGCAGGGCTGAGGAAACACTTTAGGAGTGGCTAGTTTGAGTAATTCTGGTGGGCTGTGGGCCATAGGGTGGTCCCTAGTTGCCTGGTAGCTGGCCCTGGGACAGTTTGGGGCAGGAGGTGGTTAGGTTAGGTGACAAGTGTGCTTCCAAGTAAGAGGCTTACAGTCTTTAGGAATGAGCCAGCCCTGGGAGGGCAGTCTCTCCTCAGCCAGCAGGATTGTAAAGATTTCAAAACACCACAAGATACAGAAAATAAAAAGTATGATTAATACATTCCCAGCATTCCTACAGCTACTGGCTAGCTTACCTTTTACCCTCTGATGTTGACCCACAGACGTTGGTAACATTTCAGTTAGGAATTCTGTATTCCATTGTCAGGCACAGTTTTATTTTTTTGTTTTTAATTGTCCTTAATTTTCATTTATAAGTGATCATATGAATCCATTCTTTTAAGTTCAAGCATATGTAATGGCGAAGTCCCACTTTATATTCCCACTCCTCAGTTCCTTTCCCTCCCCTGAACTCACTACTTGTATCATTTTGGTGTGACTTCCCAGAACTTGCCCTCTTCGTGAATCTCTGTATTTACTTTAGGAAAGTGCATAGTTTTTACATAAGTCTTCCGTAAAACCAACATATGTCCTCAATATTGGTCTTCTCTGTGTCTGGAGATTTTAGTATTCACAGAGAAGCCCACCTAGCGGCCGAGCTCTGCAGGTCCCTGCCCCGTCCTCAGGGCTTGGTGCCCTTTTCCTCCACCTCTTCTGTGGCCCCTGCCCACGCTCACACCGTGAACCTCACTGCCTGTCTCTGCGTTTTGAAGAGTCTGCGTTTTGAAGAGTCTTCTGCCCTCAGTTCCTGCTGGTTCTTTGGGCTTTCTGGTTTCCCCAGTCCAGTAGCACTCTTGTATTCTCGTTTCCCTACAAGTCCTGGCTCCTGTGGTTGGGAACATGAACTACTCTTTGATCGTGGCCTTCACTTCTTACAAACACCCACTGTTAAGATCAGGACTGCTCACGCCTGTAATTCCAGCATTTGGGAGGCGGAGGCGGGTGGATCACGAGGTCAGGAGATCCAGACCATTCTGGCTAACACGGTGAAACCCCGTCTCTACTAAAAATATTAAAAAATTAGCCGGGCGAGGTGGCGGGCGCCTGTAGTCCCAGCTACTTGGGAGGCTGAAGCAGGAGAATGGCGTGAGCCCAGGAGGCGGAGCTTACAGTGAGCCGAGATCGCGCCACTGCGCTCCAGCCTGGGTGACAGAGAGAGACTCCGTCTCAAAAACAAAAACAAAAAAAAAATAAGATCAGGATTGCTTTCTCCATTCCTGCTTCTGGGTAGTTGCTGAAATGGCACTTGTGTTAGAGCAAAGAGAAACCTCTGTCCAGGTACTCCGTTGGTTATGATCTAAAATACTTAGCAAAATTCTACACCTTATTTAAAATAATCAAAATTTATTTTCATTGTTTTTAGAAACTTGATAGATAACCTGTATGAAGAGATCTTTGTTGGGAAATTTAAGGAATAATTGTGACTGTTTCTTAGATGACTTTTTTTTTTTTTTTTTTTTAAACAGGTTCTAATATTCTCCTGGCTAGAATGGCAACTAGAAAAGCAAAACCAGATGGGCAGTACCACCTAAAACCAGAAGAAGTAGATGATTTTATCAGAGGTCAGCTAGTTACTAATCTACCAGGTAAGTACAAATGTTTTAACAATACTTTTATTACAGGCATCATAAATCCTTTTCATGTCTATAGTATAGAACTATGAGACCTCTTTTTGCCTAGACATGAATATTATAAAAATTTTTAAGTCTTACTGAGTGCCATGAGAAACAAAATTTGGAATTCTGCATTGAATATCCCCTCAAATGATTTGTCAGGACCCTAATGTTACATTTTTGTTTTGCTTATAATGGGTTTTTACTTTAGGTATTTCTCAAGTAGCAAGATTCTAAGAAACAGTGTTAAAAGGGTGGATGATGAAATTGACTTTGAGTCCTTTAAATAAACAGTTATTGAAATAGTTTACTCCTGGGCCAAAGATAAAAGTTTTGAGCATTGATTCTCCTATTTCATGCTGCAGGACTAGCGACATTTTTCTGAGTTTATTAAACAAGTCGTTTAGAAGTAAAGTAGCGTGTACGTGAGCTGTGTTAGGAAAAAGGAAACCTAAAGAAGGATTGTGTTTTCAGTTGACTCACTCATGGAAGAAAACCTTCCATCTTAACCTTTCTCACCTAAGGGGCAGGATGTTGAATTATTTCATATTTTTGTGTAGTTACCTATTTATTATAAAGTGCCTGTGTCAGCTTTGTAAAGTCTTCATCTTCATTTATAGTGAAAGTTTTAAAATTCATTTGTTAAAAGTAGATTTAGTGGCATTTTTAGATGCCTATTTTTAAGCCTAATAAAAATGTCCGAACTAATTTAGAAGTTTCTGTTAACAGGCTATAAATATTAAATGACAGAAATGGGATTTTATGGTAGGTTAGTTTTAAAGCTTCCTGACCCCCTTAGTATATAACTTAAAATGATGTATTAGTGTCAGAAATGTGTAATATGACATTTTTGATGGTTAGTTTTACATTTAATTTGAGAATACTTTATAAAATCAAACTAGCAGATTATCTTAGTAGACAGCACAGTTTGAACAGTTTTAATAAGAAATCTTACTGCAGTTTTCTGTAAGAAGGAACTGGTATATTTAAAGCTGCATGTAAATTTTGAGTTTTAAGTTTATTACACTAGCCATCTCTATTAGTTTTCTAGGGGTGCCATAACAGAGTACCACAGACTGGGGGGCATAAACTACAGAAAAGCGTTGTCTCACAGCTCTGGAGACTGGAAGTTCAAGATCAAGGTGTCAGCAGGGTTGGCTCCTTCTGAGGCCTCTCCTTGGCTTGTAGGTGACCCCCCTCCTTGTGTCTTTACATGGCCTTCCCCATATGCATGTCTCCGTCGTGATCTCTTCTTTTGAGGATACCGGTCATGTTGGATTAGGCGCATCCATATGACCTTGTTTTATCTTAATTACCCCTTTAAAGATTCTGTGTCCAAATACAGTCACACTGTGGCTGGGCGCGGTGGCTCACACCTGTAATCCCAGCACTGTGGGAGGCCGAGGCGGGTGGATCACTTGAGGCCAGGAGCTCAAGACCAGCCTGGCCAACATGGTGAAACCCTGTCTCTACTAAAAATACAAAAAAGTTAGCCAGGGGTAGGTGGCACATGCCTGTAGTCCCAGCTACTCGGGAGGCTGAGGCACAAGAGTCGCTTGAGCCGGAGAGGCAGAGGTTGCAGTGAGCCAAGATCGCACCACGGCACTCCAGCACCGGTGACAGAGTGAGACTGTGTTGAAAAAACAAAACACAACAAAAGAAAAACAAAAACACAGTCACATGGTAAAGTACTGGGGTTAGGATTTCAGCATATAATTTGGGAGAAGACACAATGTAGTCCAAAACACCATCTTTAAATTGAATGCTTTTTGTAGTTTTCTTTGTGTTGTTGTTGTTGTTGTTTTTTAATAGAAATAGGGACGTTTTAGCTACTTGACCTAGTAATCCTACCATTCACCTTCATTTGCTTCATGGCCGGAAAGACTTTATTTCTTGAAGGGCAAGTGTGAAGTTACATGTCCTGGCCAAGCTGAGGCAGAGCCTTGAATTTCCTAAGGGATATTTGAAAGGGCAGCAGAGCTGGCCTCTTCTTCAGAGCCACGGTCTGCATCGTTCAAGTGGTTCATGTGGTTTTCGTAAAATCCCCAAATCCTTAACCTGACTGTTACAGAGCATTTCAGGTCTGTAAAATATCTGCCTTCTCCATTGTTACTCCTGTCCTGAAGTGTGTTCCACAGATTATAAGCTGTTCCTTTAAAAAGGGGTTTCATACACGAGAGGGAACCTTCTGTGGTGGAGGGGTTTGTACAGTGAAAGACCTGAGAATTACTTTAGTAAAGAACCCTGTTTATCTTTGTTAAAGACAAGTAATTTCTCAAAGATATTTGGTGATAAATTTATAGTACCTATTTATATCTTACAGAACATGCTTTGGGGAACTTGGTGCTGTAACCAATAACCAGGAGAAATTCAGTGGTAACTTGCCCTATCTCCAACCTCTTTAGTCCCTTGAACCCATAAATGTTTAGCGACCACACACGTGCTGCGCACAGTAATACACAATTAGAATAGCTACATAAGAAGGAAATACACAATAATAAGTTTTTGCTTTAGGGGAGACTATGATCTGGTGACTTAATGAAAGAAAGGATGGACCCCAACGACTGTTACAGTTTGAAGAACCGTGTCTACTTTTTCTTTGGATCTTTGCAGGGCTTTTCACCCTTGCATGCACTCTCGAATGAAGGACCCTCTGCACCTCATTCAGCTTTTGCTGGGTTTGTGCATCCAGCATATGAGTTCCATCTCTGTCCCATTTTCAGAGAACCACCATGATCACGTAGGTGTTCATAAAATCTGCACTAATTCAGTAGCTACTTAGCCAAATGAAGCTAGTACAGTTAGAGTTAAAGTTGACTAAAACTAGCAGTTCAGTTCCCCACTTGCCCTGGCCACAGTTCAGGTGCTCAGTGGTCACATGGAGCAAGGTTCTCCTGGATTGGATAGCAGACGAGAACATTTCTATCATTGCAGAAAGTTCCGTTGAACAGCACTCGTGTAGATGGTGAAAACTTTATTCTTTGACGTTTACTCCTCTGTGTCTGTATTGGATAGCCAAGTTCTGGATGCCAAGGAGGGGACATTGTTGGCCACTTTTAACCTAGGGTAATAGTTCCCCTTCAAGGACAAACGCCAGGTCTTTGTCCCAGTTGTTTGACCAGGAACCTCCTTCACTCTTTCTTCTCTTCTTTGAGATTTGGTTCTAAAGGAACGCATTTTCCTTCATCTTTTTCTTAATAGGTGGCTGCACTGTTTGGGCCCGGAGCCCCCCTTACTTTTGTCCATAAAGTTGCCATCTTTCCCTTATAAAAACCTACTTAATTGACGCATTTAGTTAAAACTAGCAGCCTTCTTCGAGGTTTTGGTCTTGGCTCCAAGTTTAATCTTCCCACCCGCACTCAGTAGGAGTTGGAGGTACACCACACCCCTGCCTCCCTCCCCCACCTCCAGTCCAGGCCGTTTCATTCCATCAGATGAGCTTGCATGGAGAAGAGCTGCGCTGCTTTCATAGAGGGACGTCCACTTAGATTAGATTGATGATGGTTAACTTGGTGATGTTTAATAGAGCCTTTCCTTTGCACCTGCACTGCCTAATAATTTTGTTCTAGTATACTCAGGATACTCTAAAATTTTAAACTATGGGTTTCTCCCCACGCCTATCCACCCCAACACACATGCACGCACTGACACAACCTAGGATGATGCTTGTCTCTTGCTGACCTTGCAAGTCCCTGAGAACAGATTGGTTCCCCAGAACTGTAAGGGAAAGATCATGGTCAGATAATGGGAGTGGAAAGTGGGGCGATAATGGGAGTGGAAAGTGGGGCAACAATGGGAGGGAAAAAAGAGAGAAAGTCTTCCCTGATGTTGAGAAGTCTTATGACAAAAAAGAAATACAAAAAGGGCAAATAGAAGAAAAAAGCCTTTCCTAAAAGCAAATAGCTGTGCAAAGTGTCTACCTTTGACCAACCAAGTATGTAATTTGTCTATTCCCTTGTGTTTCTCTTCCCCATTTTGAAAAGCACTTAGGTTTCACTTAAAATTTTACCTTTTGGTGAATGGTACTTCTCTGGAGGATTTTTTTTTTTTTTCAGTTGTTAACTTGAGGTCTTTGGTATTTACTTGCCTTTTGTTCTGGCTTGGACTTTAAAATAGCACAGATGTGAACCAGCACCCTTAATGCCTTTCATCTCACTTCCATTAAGGAATAAAGTATCTGGGTTTAAACTTGTCGGACCCACATTGATGACTTCCTAACCTTGTGTTCCAGAGGTTTTCCTGGGAGAACTTGGACTAGATGGTGGTTCCTGCTACTGAAGACCACTCAGGAGGATAGGAGCTAGAATTAACAATAGTAACAATGAACAGAAGTTAGCAGACTTCACTCTGAGGTCTCTTGTCTAAAGACAGGGTCTTGCTCTGTCACCTAGGCTGGAATGGAATGGCAGGTTCATAGCTCACTATAGCCTCGAACTCTTGGGCTCAAGGGATCTTTCTAACTCAGCCTCCCAAATAACTGGGACTACAGGAGTACACCACCACACCCAGCTAATTCTGTTTTCTATTTTATAGAGCCAGGGTCTCCCTCAGTTGCCCAGGTTGTCCTCAAACTCAGACTGTTAGCCTCAAGAAATCCTCCTGCCTTGGCCTCCCAAAGTATTGAGATTACAGGTGTGAGCCCCCGCACCCAGCCTGAGTTCTCTTTGGATAAGTTCCTACAGAAGACCAGAAACACAACGCTGTCTTTTCCTCATTAATGGAAAAGTTTTACTTGATGGTGTGGAACCATTTTAGTAAGCATTATAGTTTCCCTCGGTTACTCCAAACCTCTTTCCCAAATTTGTGTACCTTTTTAAAGCATTTAGGGCAAATTGAAGAAAACCAAGACTCCAACTTAGAGCAACAGAATGAATCAGTATCCTTTGGGTGGGGCTCAAACCTTGCAGAATAGGACATAGGGACTGCTGCCTGCTGACCCAGCTGTAGGAGAGTTAATATCTCTTCAGGGAGATCATCCTTTCGATTAAAAAAACAGTCTGTCTTCTACCCCACCACGAGTTGGTTTGGTTAGGATCCTTCATCCTCAGGTCAGTGGTACGTATGATAGCATGTAACACTTTTGAACTTGGGCCCATTTTGTGAATTCTTGTTCTGTTTTTCACTGAAAAAATACAGCTTACACCATTGTGAGATTTGGTGATGCCCGAAATCATAATAGAGTCCCTTACATTTCGTGAGTCGGCTAGTATGTCTGTAAGTCACACTATAGACTTATTTAAATGACAGTTGATTCCTTAGTTGATTTTGTGAATAAGATAGGTATGTTGATATTATTCACTAATAAAGAAAGGACATTTTTGATAGCTTGAGTTTATACGTATTTTAAAAGTTTCTTGTTCATCTGTGTGTGGAGTCCGAATTGAGAAGTAGAGTCTAGAAATACACCTACTAGCATGATTTTGCACCAAGAAATTCTTCAACCTGTGGATGCTTCAGTTACGTCACCTAAAGACTTTAAAGATTATTTTAAATTAGTTGTTTTGTGCATAAATGGTGGGTATTTTGTGTTAATAAACTTGTTATTAGTAGCTTAGTCTGCATACTTAAAGAACCATATATATTCCTTTTCCTAGGAGTTGGATGTTCAATGGAATCTAAGTTGGCATCTTTGGGAATTAAAACTTGTGGAGACTTGCAATATATGACCATGGCAAAACTCCAAAAAGAATTTGGTCCCAAAACAGGTCAGATGCTTTATAGGTTCTGCCGTGGCTTGGATGATAGACCAGTTCGAACTGAAAAGGAAAGAAAATCTGTGTCAGCTGAGATCAACTATGGAATCAGGTTTACCCAGGTACTGATCATTGAACAGATTTTACCGTCTGTTGTTCCTTCACATTTTTACATAGTCCTACCTCTCCAGCTAAACCATAAGACCCTTGATGCTTGAAATTAAGTCTTAAAACTGTTGTATCCCCAGAGCCTCAAGAAGGCCTTTTAAGGCAGTGTGTGGTAAGGTATAGCCCCAGATAAGGCTGAGACTGAGGAACCTTAGCTCTTGAGGAAATATACTAAAAGATTATGCCTTGGGGGCCAGTTATTAGAGAACTTGGGATTATAATCTAATTTACAGTGAAACAATAACAAAGATGAGAAAAATTGGAAATACTTTTTAAGCTGTAGTTAAATTTTCAGCAAGCCCCTCCTTATGCAGGCTTTTGGAAAGCTGCAGCACAGATGGCTGAGTGGTTTCCATTTTCCTTCAGATTATGGATTTGGGTATGTCTTGTCTTTCTGAGATGGAGTCTCGCTCTGTTGCCGCGTGTGGAGTGTAATGTCGCAGTCTTGGCTCACTGCAACCTCTGTTTCCTGGATTTAAGAGATTCTCCTGCCTCAGCCTCCCAAGTAGCTGGGATTACAGGCACCTGCCACCACGCCTGACTAATTTTTTGTATTTTTAGTAGAGACGGGGTTTTGTCATGTTGGTCAGGCTGGTCTCAAACTCCTGACCTCGTGATCCGCCCGCCTCAGCCTCCCAAAGTGCTGGGATTACAGGCGTGAGCCACTGCACCCGGCTGGATATGTCTTGAATTTGTATGTACGAACAACACCATATCATAAGGATTTGAAATGTGATGAGTGAATTGCCCTCTCTGCCTACACTGTGGACCTCTGAAGTTTGTTTCCTTAGGCATGGAGATGGATGATGTTTGGGCTGTAAGCACAGTGTTGGAACACATTTTATTAGCAGAACTTACTAACATAATTACAAAAAAATTTCAACAAGTCAATGATGGCATAGAAAAGAAAGAAAGGGGCCCGACACGGTGGCTCACGCCTGTAATCCCATCACTTTCGGAGGCCGAGGTGGGCCAATCACCTGAGGTCAGGAGTTGGAGACCAGCCTGGCCAGCATGGTGAAACCCCATCTCTACTGAAAATACAAAAAAGTTAGCCAGCCATGGTGGCAGGCGCCTGTAATCCCAGCTACTCGGGAGGCTGAGGCAAGAGAATCGCTTGAACCTGGGAGGCAGAGGTTGCAGTGAGCCAAGATCATGCTATTGCACTCCAGGCTGGGGGACAAGAGCAACACTTTGTCTCAAAAAAAAAAAAAAGAAAAGAAAGAAAGGAAAAATATCTTTTAAAAGTACTCATTACATTCACTTTGTTGGGAAGGTGGGTATTTTTATTTAATAGTGAGGGTATACCAAACGGTTTTTGTTGTTGTAGTTTTAGTATTTTGAGACAGAGTCTCCCTCTGTCACCCAGGCTGGAATGCAGTGGCGTGATCTCAGCTCACTGCAACCTCCGTCTCCTGGGTTCAAGCAATTCTCCTACCTCAGCCTCCTGAGTGGCTGGGATTACAGGCACGCACCACCATGCCCAGCTAATTTTTGCATTTTTAATAGAGACAGGGTTTTACCACATTGGTCAGGCTGGTCTCAAACTCCTGACCTCAGGTGATCCACCAGCCTCGGCCTCTCAGAGTGCTGGGATTACAGGCGTGAGCCACCGCACCTGGCCACGTTTCTTTTTAATAGATGCTGAGCATGATAATGAGTAACCAACATGTTTAATATTCAGAGTTAAAATACTTGAGAACAATTATTAGGTATATAGGAAAATGGAATGGAAGTTTCTCCATGTTTGTCTTTCCATAGCCAAAAGAGGCAGAAGCTTTTCTTCTGAGTCTTTCAGAAGAAATTCAAAGAAGACTAGAAGCCACTGGCATGAAGGGTAAACGTCTAACTCTCAAAATCATGGTACGAAAGGCCGGGGCTCCTGTAGAAACTGCAAAATTTGGAGGCCATGGAATTTGTGATAACGTTGCCAGGTAAGCTCACCTCAAAAATGATATTGGTAATTATATTTCAGTACAAATTGTGTAAGTAATAGAAAATGAAGAAAACCAAGGAGGAGTTTGAATAAAGACCTGTAAGCCCATGTTATCTGGTATTCTGTAGAAGCAGGCATCAGCCTAAGGCATTCAGCTTAGGTTAATACACTTGGTTTCAGCCAGGCCCACACACAGGAGGTTGGTTTGACAGCATTCCAGACCTTGGCAGCCTTTGCTTGGCATCTTTGGGCTGTTAACTTTACTGCATGGACAGAAAGAAAGGGCAAGGCTGCAGAACAAAGGGACTGCTATAATTTTTGGACTTGGTGAAACTTTTTTCCTGAGGGAAATTTCAGTGTAGTTCTTAAAAACCGTGATACAGACCGGGTGTGGTGGCTCATGCCTGTAATCCCAGCACTTTGGGAGGCCAAGGCAGCTGGATTACTTGAGGCCAGGAGTTTGAGACCAGCCTGGCCAACATGGTGAAACTCCATTTCCATTAAAAGTACAAAAATTAGCCGGACCTGGTGGCATTCGGCTGTAGTCCCAGCTACTCAGGAGGCTGGGGCAGGAGGATCGCTTGAACCCAGGAGGCAGAGGTTGCAGTGAGCCAAGATTGTGCCAGTGCACTCCAGCCTGGGCAACAGAGTGAGATTTTGTCTCAAAAAAAAACGATACACAAAGGCAGACTAATAGTAGCTAGAAAAATGCTGGTGAAGGAGAGCAACTTCATTTACATAGGTGTATAAATGTAATTGGTAAAAAGATGAGTGAATCACTGTAATGTCTGAAAACTGGTGAAAGCATTTAAAAACCTGGTTTTTTTTGTTTTTGTTTCTGTTGAGATGGATTCTGACTTCGCCTGAGGGCAGTGGCGCAATCTGATCTCACTGCAACTTCTGCCTCCTGGGTTCAAGTGATCCTCCTGTCTCAGCCTTTTGGGTAGCTGGGATTACGGGGCATGCCACCATGCCCAGCGAATTTTTGTATTTTCAGTAGAGATAGGGTTTCACTATGTTGGCAAGGCTGATCTTCAACTCCTGACTTCAAATGATCCGCCCACCTCAGCCTTCCATAGTGTTCGGATTACAGGCGTGAGCCAATGTACCTGGACTGAAACCCTCGTTTTTTATGTCAGGGCCAACTACTTAATATTAAACTTCATGTAAGATTTGTGACCACTATGAAGATATGTGGTTTTATGTTAGACTGTACGTCATCTGTGAAACCAACGTTTTGAGGCTTTTGACGCTTTTGAAAGCTACTTATAAGGAACTATGAAGTACAATTTCATTGAAGAGTAGCTCATGCCAACCATACATGGTGCATTCATGTATATGATGATATTGCTAAGTCATGAGATGACGGCTCTTAAACAGAGAAACTCCCAAGTTACCATGAAAGCAGGAATTACAAATTACAATTAGACAACATGATTTATGAAATACATTTTTTATCAGTTGGTTAGCTTGAATTATATTTACTGAAGTGTTATGATATATACATGTATCTCAAATAGTAAATAGTGGTCACTTATTTATTTAAAAACTTATTTATGTAGAGATAGGATCTTGCCCTGTTGCCCAGGCTGGCCTTGAACAATCCTTTTGCCTTGACCTCCCAACGTTTTGGGATTACAGGTGTAAGCCACTGTGCCCAGTTTTTAGTGGTGATTTCTATAAGCAGATGAAGTAATGCGATTGTCTTCTTAAACATTTCTATGGGAAAATCAGATTCAATTTATAGTATTTTTTTTTCTGGGACTATTTCTTGTTTAAAGGCCTGGAACTTCATTTGTTCATTAATCCAAAACACGAAATAACTTTCCTTTGGAAAGAGAACTGGTAGTAATTTGTAATCTGTTACTGAGTGAGTAATTCTGTTTGTAATGGGACACCCTGCTCATGCCAGAGAAGCTCAAACAGCTCTGAAGGAAATGGTGGGTGAGGTCATCACATCTTTGGGACCAAGTAATGCTGATGGATCATTTGGTCCTCTCTCAAGAGTTCTTAAAGATCTAAGAATTGTTTATTGGCTTTACTGTAAACACGAAGGAGAGTCAAGAAACAACATACCGAGAATTCATCTTTCTCTTCTGAATATTTGCTGTACCTCAGCATACATAATCTTGGAACCTAAAACTTCTCTTGGAGTCAAGAACATTGTGTTTACCATTCATTTGTGCTTTAGCTGGAAAATAGGTATTCATTTGTGCATGTGTTAGCTAAAATACACCTTTTTCTAAATTTCTCAACTGATTTGTAGTTGACCCAGGTGTCCATTATCGTTACTACCTTGAAGTTCCAGTGTTCCATAATTTTTCTTTCCCCCCTCTTTGCCAGTGTAACTAATTTGGTATTTCTGGCTTCCTGGAAGGGGGGCTGTGGCATTCACTTTTATAATCTTCTTTGTAACTGTTTCCAACTTTTCTGTAACTCTTTTAAACCGTTCCATACTACTTTAGTACTAGTGAATACATATGGAATGAAGCTTTTGTTTTACAATTCTATCACTTACAGGACTGTAACTCTTGACCAGGCAACAGATAATGCAAAAATAATTGGAAAGGCGATGCTAAACATGTTTCATACAATGAAACTAAATATATCAGACATGAGAGGGGTAAGTGTATAGTAACATTGTAAATTCTGACTTTCTGTAATTTTTGTGTCATTTGAGGCTTGCTCTCAGAATGGTTATTGCTGGCATATAGGGACTTTATATGTAGGTCTTTAGCTGCTTTGTGATATAAGGAAAAGAGAAACAAAAATTCTTGACTTTCTCCATTTTGATCTTCTTCATTTTAGAATAATTTTCTCAGATTCTTACTGTGCTTTTCCAAGGTATCCCTAATTAACCAGGGGCTAATATACATGTCCTCCCTGTTCTTGTTTCCTAGAAGTAGATATGACTGTGAGGAGTATGAATACATAAATTTTGTACCTTTAAGTTCCTTTTTAATCAGAAACATACTCTGCTGTCTGCCATATGATGACCTAGAAGGGAGTGAAACCACAGGCACATCAAGATGCCTTTGAAACAGGCAAGAGGCATCAAAATGTCAAAACCATAGTTTTTTTTGTGGGTTTTTTTTTATTTTTTTTTTGAGACGGAGTTTTTGCCCTGTTGCCCAGGCTGGAGTACAGTGGCGCGATCTCAGCTCACTGCAACCTCCACCTCCTGGGTTCAAGCAGTTCTCCTTCCTCAGTCTCCCGAGTAGCTGTGGGTACAGGTACCCGCTACCACGCCCTTTTGTATTTTTAGAGACGAGGTTTCACCATGTTGGCCAGGCTGGTCTCAAACTCCTGACCTCAGGTGATCCACCTGCTTCGGCCTCTCAAAGTGCTGGGATTACAGGCATGAGCCACTGTGTCTGGCCCCCATCTCTACTAAAAATACAAAAATTAGCCGGGTGTTGTGGTACATGCGTTATAGTCCCATCTACTCGGGAGGCTGAGGCAGGAGAATCACTTGAACCCAAGAGACAGAGCTTGCATGAGCCAAGATCATGCCATTGCACTCCAGCCTGGGTGACACAATGAGGCTGTGTCTCAAAAGAGGAAAAAAAAAAAAAAAAGAACCTTTGTAGGTTTAGTTTATTGTGTGCATGTGTAAGTTAAGGGTTGTTCTGGCTTGATTGTGGACTTTGTTGAAGGATTAGTCACTAAGCTGGCCGTAATTGTAATTTCTCCCTGAAATACTGGTACAGTGGCACTTTATGGAGGGGTCTGTGGTGTGCCTGCTGTTCACCAGTCCCGCCGGTATTTTTTGAGAAGTATTTCATTTTAAAAAGATAAAAATAGTTAAGTTTCCAAGTAGCCTGTCCTCTCTTAAAATTTTTTTTTATCCTAATTTAAAACCTTAGTTGACCAGAACATCAGTGAAATACAGTATTCCACCTGTTTGGATTTTCTGATTTTAAAGACGTTTTGGTATATTTTGGGAGAATTGGATACTCTGAAGTTTGAGATGAATGACCGCTCACTAGCTAGTCTAGAAATTGTTTTTGTAATAAGTCATATAGAATGCTGTTGTTTGAATACTTTCATTTACCTTTATTCTAGAAACGGGATCTAGGAGGTAGTGAAAAGGATTTGCTGAGGGTTTTGCTTAGCTGAATTCATATTTTACTTTAGTTTTCCTGGAAGCATACTCTTTATTCTGGGTTCTAGGTTGGGATTCACGTGAATCAGTTGGTTCCAACTAATCTGAACCCTTCCACATGTCCCAGTCGCCCATCAGTTCAGTCGAGCCACTTTCCTGGTGGGTCATACTCTGTCCGTGATATCTTCCAAGTTCAGAAAGCTAAGAAACCCACAGAAGAGGAGCACAAAGAAGGTTGGTGGTCATCAGTGGGGTTCTCGTTTAGGTGCTGCTTATGTCCTTGGAAAGACGGCAGTTGGTTTTAAACTTGACACAGCTTTATGTGATTTAAAAAAATTATATTCTTCATTATGATGTATCAATAATAAAGTTGTTTTATTTGTAATGGACAGAGGAAATCAGGGATTAAAGGCCCTGCCCGATGATCTGAAGAGGCTATTTTATGTATTTTCTCTTCGTAGTATTTCGGACTGCTGTGGATCTGGAAATATCATCTGCTTCTAGAACTTGCACTTTGCCACCTTTTCCCGCACATCTGCCGACCAGTCCTGATACTAACAAGGCTGAGTCTTCAGGGAAATGGAACGGTCTGCATTCTCCTGTCAGTGTGCAGTCAAGACTTAACCTGAGTATAGAGGTCCCGTCAGCTTCCCAGGTACATTTTTATAGTCCTAAATATAAGTACATTTTATACTCTTAAATATAAGTACAAAAATATAAGTTTACAAATGAAAATGGCATTTTTATTTCTTCATCCATTTAACCAAAAAAGGGAGAATGGGTCACTTGTTCGGGTAGATCATGATGTTGGATTCTAAATAAGCAATAATTGGGTTGAATGAAAGTGCTTTTGCAAAGATTTGCCACTCTTGCAAGTTGTAAAGCATAGCTGAAAGGCAGTCCTCCTGTGGACTGCCATTGTCTGTGACAGTGGTCATCATGTAGACTTACTGTATTCAGCAAGGCAGCTTTGGTGATTAGTGGTGAAGTAGAGGCCTTATGTCGAAGGGCTTTTGCAGTATTTGCAAACAGGTCTCTGGAGTTTTGGATGGTTTAATTCAGCTTGTGTGGGCTGTACATGTGATACGCTGCTGGCATCCCTTGGTCCTTGAAAGTAAGGTAGCACCTTAAGCTATATTGGGCAAGTTCATTTGTGCCCCCGCTCCCCCTGCATGGAAGGAGGCAGGAGATGTTACATTCTGGCTGTAAAACTAGGGGAAGGGGCAATGCTGATATGCTTGTATGGTGACAGATACCCACAATTAGTTACTCCTGGCAGGTAAGATTGGCCTACCCAAGTTGACGGGATTGTATGTTTCCAAAGGGCCAGATGTGCATGGACAGGTGGAGGGAGGCCCTGGTCAAAGGAACAGTGGGCTCTGTTCTGCAAGTTAGAGAAAATTCAGCTTCTAGAAACCCTTTCTTCCAGTGTGCTGCTCTCAGAGTAGAATTATCTGTATTTTTGGGCAGTCTCTCATCTGAGAGGTGAACTTTTGACTCAGGACTGTTAACCTGTCCAGAATTTTAACATGTGCCTCAGGCCTTCACCCCTCCCCAGGGGTGGGATCTAATTTGAGCTTCACCAAGGTATCCATATCTGTTGGCCCCAATTGCAGGACATTCTGTGAGTATATTTGGACTTACCTGGTCATGTGGTAGTGGCCAGTAGTATATACACTTTTCTCCAGACTACACATACTTCAGGCTTCAATGACAAAAGGCCAAGACGTTCCAAAAATGTGCTGATTTGGGGGTGGCTTTCCTAGCTTGATGGTCTGTCTGTACCTTACATTGATTATCCAGTGTTCAAATTGAAATGGAAAGTAGCATGTTAACTCCCAAACACCTCATCTCTGAGCACGCTTTAATAAACTTCAAACTCATATGTTTGGCATTTTATAGCTGGATCAGTCTGTTTTAGAAGCACTTCCACCTGATCTCCGGGAACAAGTAGAGCAAGTCTGTGCTGTCCAGCAAGCAGAGGCACATGGCGACAAAAGGAAAGAACCAGTGAATGGCTGTAACACGGGAATTTTGCCACAACCAGTTGGGACAGTCTTGTTGCAAATACCAGAACCTCAAGAATCGAACAGTGACACAGGAATAAATGTAATAGCCCTTCCAGCATTTTCACAGGTAAGTTAAATATGGGAACCCTCTGCTGTAGTTTCAGTATTCTCACCCCCCTGCTCCAGCTCAGGACCTGTCTCACTTCCCTTTCTCCCGTATCTGACACCACTTCCACTGGGAAGGGGAGGGAGGGAAGAGTGGGCTTGTCTCCATCTCCTGCGTCTGCAGGATGTAGACACTCCGAGCAGCCTCCCGCTGAAGCCAGCAGAGGGAAGAGACGGGGGAGGGCACGATAAGACAGAAGCACATTGATCTGGCGCAAACAGATCAGTGGCCACACTTGAACACAGCAGAGTGGAGATGTGTAATCCTACATGGGGGCAGCAACAACCCGAGCTCCTGTTTTCATGTTTTGCTTCCCATTATTCTACTAGTGCATTTTGCCCAGGTTGCTCTGCTGTTGTAGTGGGGTTTTTTAAGTTAGTACTCTTAATTCCTTGTTCTTGCTCTAACCATTTTGAAGATTTAATCAGCTTTGATATTACGGAACCGTTAAGAATTCGTACAGATCAGAAAAGTAAGATTTGAAAACAAAATCTATTTTGTGAAAAAAGATAAACCAGCTACCATCTAGAAGGGAGTTCAGGTTTGACTTTGACCTTGTCTTTTCCACTAGGTGGACCCTGAGGTATTTGCTGCCCTACCTGCTGAACTTCAAAGGGAGCTGAAAGCAGCATATGATCAAAGACAAAGGCAGGGCGAGAACAGCAGCCACCAGCAGTCAGCCAGCGCATCTGGTGAGCCTTGGAAGTGGCATGTAACAAAAATGAAGATAAAGAGTAATGGAGTCACTGTTGTCTAATTATTGCAGTATATAATGGCCAAAGTCTAAGCTGTTCGTTGCATTAAGAGCTCTTCATATTGGGATAATATCTGAAGTTTACAGTATGAGTAAATATCGTCATATTTTAGTTGGATTTGTGTCTGTACTTTCAGGATGTAAACACACCACTTTTTACTTTTTTAAAAAGTTGGGATAGGACATTACCAGAAGTGTCTTGAATACTTGTTCAGCTAGTTGTCCTTTGAGATGAATAAATCAAAGGAGTCCTTTGAGATGAATAAATCAAAGGATGTAGGTTCAAAATGCATCACAAACACCAAACCCACATTTATTACTACCCATCATAGATGAGCAACATGCCAAAGGCCGAATTAGTAAGTGGCAAAGCAAAGAGAGAACTGGAGAGCCTGCACTTTCGGCCATTGCCATTCTCTGCCTCTCACTTGGGGCAGGAGGGGAGGTGTAGGCTAGGGAGCCTGTTGTATCCGGGAGGAGAAAAGAGAACCCAACCTACTATCATCCAGACTATCCGTACTATCAGTTTGTTGAGGATCTTGTATCTATCTATCTTCTCTTAGTGCCAAAGAATCCTTTACTTCATCTAAAGGCAGCAGTGAAAGAAAAGAAAAGAAACAAGAAAAAAAAACCCATCGGTTCCCCAAAAAGGATTCAGAGTCCTTTGAAAAACAAGCTGCCAAACAGTCCTGCAAAAACTCTGCCAGGGGCCTGTGGCAGTCCCCAGAAGTTAATTGATGGGTTTCTAAAACATGAAGGAACTCCTGCAGAGAAACCCCTGGTAATTCTTTAACTTTGACCTTTATGAGATCTTAATGTACCCGGATAATGTGTGAATATAGCAATTTTATCCTTTGTTTTCTTAACAGGAAGAACTCTCTGCTTCTACTTCAGGTGTGCCAGGCCTTTCTAGTTTGCAGTCTGACCCAGCTGGCTGTGTGAGACCTCCAGCACCCAATCTAGCTGGAGCTGTTGAATTCAATGATGTGAAGACCTTGCTCAGAGAATGGATAACTACAATTTCAGGTTGGCTTGGCCTGTGTTAGATGGCCCAAGGCTGAGATGTAGTCGTCTCATGATTTGAGAACATAAACAGACTAAACTATGTAGATTTAACCCATTTCTCTAACTCTAATAAGCTTAAAGCAGCTACCCCAATATCTTTTAAATTCTGGGGCTTGCTTTGACAAGTAACAAAGCCCATTCCTTTGACAGCTGTTAGCGGCGTACTTGTAGAAACGCAGTTTTCCTTTATCCGTGTAGATTTCTGACTTTCTCCTTCAAAAAGATCCACTGGTCCTCATTTGAAGTTTTTCCCCTTCCTAGATCCAATGGAAGAAGACATTCTCCAAGTTGTGAAATATTGTACTGATCTAATAGAAGAAAAAGATTTGGAAAAACTGGATCTAGTTATAAAATACATGAAAAGGTAGTAATTCATCACTTTTATCAAATGGGAAAAAAATGGCATGTCACAAGGGCTAAGTGAGGGTGTACTGAGAAGTTTTAAACTTTCTGGGAAACTGTCCTCGTTAGGGTTAATGAAAAACTGACATCCATTATTCTGTCATGTTGACTAAGTAGTAAATGAAGTTCCAAGTGTGTCGCCCTCAAAGTCTTACATGTGATTAGAAGACCACAGGAAGTGGGCTGGGCGCAGTGGCTCACGCCTGTCATCACAGCACTTCACTTTGGGTGGCTGAGGTGGGTGCATCGTTTTGAGACCAGCCTGGCCAAAATGGCATAACCCCATCTCTACTAAAAAAATACAAAAAAAAAATAATAACCTGGGGGTGGTTGGTGCCCACATGTGGTCCCAGTTACTTGGGAGGTAGAGGCTGCAGTGAGCCATGATTGTACCACTGCACTCCAGCCTGACAGCTTGTCTCAAAACAAGCTTTTTTTTTTAGTGTTCTAGGATTTTATTTTTTGAGATGAAGTCTCACTCTGTCACCCAGGCTGGAGTGCAGTGGTGGCATCTTGGCTTACTGCAGCCTCTGCCTCCTGGGTTCCAGTGATTCTCCTGCCTCAGCCTCTCGGGTAGCTGGGATTATAGGCATGTGCCACCACGCCCAGCTAATTTTTGTATTTTCTATAGAGACGGGGTTTTACCATGTTTGGCCAGGCTAGTCTCCAACTCCCGACCTCAGGTGATCTGCCCACCTCGGCCTCCCAAAGTGCTGGGATTACAGGCATGAGCTTTTTTTTTTTTTTCGCCAAAATCAATTTTTATTTTTAAAAAGGAATAGTCTTAAGGACTTTTCCTGATGGCATTTCTTCTCTCCCCACCTTTAGGTTGATGCAGCAATCGGTGGAATCGGTTTGGAATATGGCGTTTGACTTTATTCTTGACAATGTTCAGGTGGTTTTACAACAAACGTACGGAAGCACATTAAAAGTTACATAAATATTACCAGGGAGCCTGGTGCTCTCCGATCGCTGTGCCATAAGTGCTTGTGAGGTATTTGCAAAGTGCATGATAGTAATGCTCGGAGTTTTTATAATTTTAAATTTCTTTTAAAGCAAGTGTTTTGTACATTTCTTTTCAAAAAGTGCCAAATTTGTCAGTATTGCATGTAAATAATTGTGTTAATTCTTTTACTGTAGCATAGATTCTATTTACAAAATGTTTGTTTATAAAGTTTTATGGATTTTTACAGTGAAGTGTTTACAGTTGTTTAATAAAGAACTGTATGTATATTTTGTACAGGCTCCTTTTTGTGAATCCTTAAAAACTCAACTCTAGGAAGCAACTACTGTTTATTATACTAAAAGGCTGAAAAACCTCCAGGCCAGACTGCTAAGCTCTGAAATTCCTGAGAGGTCTCAGACCGGGATTCTACTTGTTCCAAGAAAGGGTAAAGCTTCTAAACCATCTTATTCTTGTCTCCAAGCATGAACACAGGAGCATGTTAAGAAAATCTTTACTTCTTCCATGTGGAGAAATCTACATATTTTGAATTAGAAACACCCTCACACCCACTTGAAGATTTTTTCTTGGGAACATTATGTCCCATAGATCAGAGGTGATGTTGTCTTTGCCTCTACTGGCCATTGAGAAACTTTGATGATAAAAAAGAACGGTATAGATTTTCAAACGGATATAAAATATTTTTATGCTATATGTTATGCCGTAACTTTAAAATAAAAATGTAGTTTAAAATTCTGTGCTAGTGGATATTTGGAACTTTTTCCTCAAACACCCCACACTGACTTCAACAAAACCCTAAAACTAGCTACAGATTACTACTATGAATGAATCATTAAGTTGTGTCCGCAACAATTTAGAAGCACTAAGCCCAAATACCAGGAGATGTATGTATGATGGAATTTTCTAGGACAAAACAGCTCCAGATTAATGTATAAAAATCTCGACTGTTACCAGGTGCTGGCATACAAGGTAGTGTGATTGATAGTTGGTAAGATAATTCTTGTCCTAGGAGGACAACTTGTGGGAGAGAAGCTACACTAACATGGAAGCCTAACAGAGCTTGCTGGTGGATGTCTGTTTTCTTTATTGGTAGTTTGGTTTGGAATTGTGATGATTACAATGGACTCATGACTACACAAGCAGTAAAAAGCAGCCAGCTGTGCTTTTACACCATGGTTTCACACAAAGCAGATAAATACCAGAATGCCTAATTTTCTATTTTATAAAAGCCCTAAAGGCATATGGCAGAAGAATGCTGGAAAAATCACTGTGGGAAGAATATGCATAAATAAAGAAGTATTTCTTACATCAGAAAAGTCCCAAGAATCACAAAATCTGCAGAAGCTTGGTTAATCAAATACTGCAGTACTGATTTAATCAGTATAAAATCGAAAGAGCTTTAGATCTGTAATAAAAATCCAAATTTGGGGAAGGGCAAACTTTAAAACAGCAGCCAAGTAGAGAAGGGTTGGGGAAAGGAGAGGTGAGTGAACAGGCACGTTGGAACTGTGGGGACATGTAATTGACCACTGTCAAACCAGTGTAAGTTTCTTGGTTTCTCATGGAAAACATTTTATACACCTATTTTTCTTCCTTCCATACTTAAGTCCATCAGTGTCCAGATACGTCTGTTCCATTTTTTGGTGGGATATTACAACACAGTATTGCATTTACTCCAGTTCCTGCTCCGTGTGAAAAAAATTAGATGATTTCAAATACTTTCTTCAGCTCCACAATAAGCTGCCAGTCACTCTTCTGCATTTCGTCTCTGAACCAGTCTTTGAGTGCATCAATGGACTGCCGGCTGATCTGCAATGCCCGAGGCACAAACAGGGTAAACAGAATGTAACAAACATGTGCCAAAGAAAGCTGTGGCCCCAGACACCCGCTCTCACCGTAATAAAGCTTATGCAGGGCTTGCCTGCCTAAGGGAGTAGAATTCCGAAATCACATCTGGTTGGTATGTCAGGCACAAGGGGATCTAAAAGTCCTAGCTTTCTCTGTTGGTGCTGCTTTCCTGATGGGGCAACTTCCTCAAAAGACAAGGCCCAGCTAAAAAGGTCAGGCCCTAATGGGGGATCCAGTCCCATCAGATACTACAATCAAACTGAAGCCCAAGGAGCTTCTGGGCACAGGTGACCCGAGAAGAGTGATTCCCCATTTCTTAAAGTATGCCACTTTTGCCGAAATGCTTACCTTACTGACAAGAATGTCTGTAGCTTCAAAATGTCTTCCAAACATTTTGGGTGACTCACCAGGGATAGGTTCTATTTTTACACAGACTTCTTGTCCTTTTTTTGCAACATCTACTTGTTTATGGTTTATTTCAATACTTGTTACTATTCCGATGTCAACAAACTGTAAAATAACATATTAACAATGCATGCTGAAGAATTCATGCCAATCACAGGCGCCATGGCTGGACAACTGAAATAAGAACTGGAGCAAAAGCCTGTTTTAAAAGTCATGGCAGTGCGATCCTTCATTCATCCCTTAAGGTCTCACAGTGTAATGTTTTGGTAAATTAGGCTGGCACCACCAACACCCTGTTCCCTTCACAACGGCTGTAAGAATGACAGGAGATAATGTGCTTTGCAAAACATTCCAAGTGCCCTGTTGACCCAATGTCATTTCGTATTTTTGCTCTACCATTTCACATGACAGGTGCCATAATAGAAGGGATCAGCAGGCACAACGGGTCTGAGTCAGGAATGAGCTTGAAGTGACTGGTGGGAATGAAGTCAGAGTGAGGACCGATCCTGAAATTTTAAGAATGATGGCCTGTGAGCAGATGAGTGATGTGATCTCAGAGTTTGGGGCAAAAACCCCTGACTCCTTTGTGGAGAAAAGGATTCAGGAGAGTAAGAGTGAAAAGACAGAGAGCTCTGTTTGATTTAGGAGGCCAAAGCCACATAGAAAATAACACAAATGTCCTGGCTTAGTCCACTGAAATGGTAGAGAATCAATGACAACTTCTAAGTGCCACTGCCCATTACAGGAACCAGGTTTGGGGCAGGGAAAGTACTAGATGAGGCTGGAACATCTCACTGCACCAGAAAGGAAGAAGATGCTCAGACTACTGTGTGTCAAGGATATAGGAGCCAGTTTAAATGAGCTCCTACTGACCACACTGGACAATCTATCAAAAGAATAAAGGTAATGGATTATATTTAAAAAACAACAAAACAAAAAAAACCCTGCTAAGTCTATGAGTCAATAAAAAGGTCAGTGGGAAGAGGTTCTTTCTAAGAAATGGGGGGACAGGTATATCCACAATTTTGCCACCATCTATGTAACAGCTGACAGGCAAGGCTTGCCAGTGGGTACGAAAACCACTGGGATAAAGGCTGTTGGGAAACAGGATGTCCATTGGGAACTCCAGGTACCAGATAGATTACAGAGTAATTACAAAGGGCAAGTTTCTAATGGAGATGACTGGCGGCTAGCACTTCCCCGGGGAAGAAGAGCGTCGGCAGCAGTGAGACAGGCTGGCTCATGCAGGACGCAGGCACACAGGGAAACCGCATGAGTGTCTTTCCAATAATGCTAACCTGTGTCTACTCGGGAGGGAGAGACAGATAAATCCAAATGGAGAAGGAATTTGCAAAACCACTGGGACACTTCAAAAAGGATGGAGGACTGTTCTTGACTGAGGCTTAACCACAAAACAGCCCCAGTACAATGCAGTTTGCAGGGCACTGAGCCAGATCCGTGGGGAGAGTTACCAAGACATCTTTGGGATAATTGGTGAAATGCTGAGGGCTGCAAATTATAGGATATTGTTGAAATATTAATTCTTCTTAGGTATGCTGATAGAAAGGGAAAGTAAACATGGGTGTTCATTATACTAATTTTTAAGCTTTTCCACAGGCTTGAAACCTTTCAAAATAAAATAAAAGGCAGTAATTTCAAGTGCCTTGGAGCCCAATTAACTGAAGCACGAGATCAGGGCTGAGTCAACACTGACTATGGAGCACTGGTATTTACCAACACTGAAGCACAGCAGGTGACAGGCTCTGCTTGTTTTAAAGTTACCACATTTTCTTCCTACTGAGGTAAAACACTGAAACATTTGTTAAGAAGGTGGAGACCACACTAAATACACAGCCCAGTACTGTGACCTACAGGCACAAAGCTGTGTTGCTACGACTCTTGGACACCCATTTACTGCTTTAAGAAATGACCCACAAAATGTACAACTAGAACTTACATTTTTGCTTGGGACACACATGGGTGTCCCCTGTTTCACCTGCCCTGCTTCCACTGTCACCCCCATCACTATCGGATCTCGAGAATTAAAAATGTACTGAGGGAGGATTTTCATCTTGCAGGGAAATACTGCTATGTGCCTGAAAGAAAAAAAGAGAAGAATTTTTAAGCTTACAGAATCACTTAAATATAAACAGAAAAACTGCAGCTGAACATCAGGCTTCTCGCATTAGAGGAACAAGGCGCTTCTTCCTTTTCTTCTTAACCTCCTCCTCCCCATTCTACTGCTTCCCAAGTCTGGGCTTTCTTGTCTTTTGCAGCCCTACCTCCAACAGAAGCTGCATCACAGGAGCATTCTGTTCCTAGTCTGAACACTGAGCTTGGCTGCTGAAGCTGTCAGCCAGGCTGGGGCTAGAACCTAGGCAGCACCTGGTGACAGGCAGGGCTTCGTTGGGCACATGTGTAGGCTACTGGGGGACCACAGAGGCATCAAACCATATTATCACCCTCCTTTTCTCCACCACATTCCCAAACCATGGATCCAGAAGGCCACTACATGGCGACCCCGCTTCCTGAGCACACGCTTAAAGTGCGGTAAACGTTTCCGGCCGCGTCTTAAGCAGAGTTCTTCTCACTCCAGCTTTCATGATCTAAAGTGAGCACATACCAGTCTAAATCCGAATATTTACTAGTAAGCGCCACTTAAAAACGTATCCCAAACTACACCATCACTCCTATCATCACTGTGGTCTGAATCACCTAGACCTCTTGCTTGGACTGTGGGAGCCTCCTGACAGGGTCTTGCCACTGACTTCCTAACAACCCGAGGTCCACATAACAACCCAGTGAGCCAGTCTGATGGTGAACACAGCCTTGGCAATGGCTTCTTGCACAACTCAGAGAAGCTCAATCCTTCCCATGGCCTGTAAGATCCTTGACGATACAGGTCCCACCACCCTCTCTGACCTCATTTATCACTGTCCCCTCTGGTCACTCCGCCTCACACTGCTGTTCTCTCTGGACACTCCCCATGGGCGCTCTGTCTGAAGAGATGAGATGCCTTCCTCAACCACATCATTAATCACAGTCTCTCCTCTCCTTATCTAGGCCCTTCCCTGCTTTATTTGGTTTTTCAGCACTTCTCAACATGTGTTGATTGTCCTGCAATAAGAGCCTGTCCCAGACTAGGCACAGTGGCTCACACCTATAATCCCAGCACTTCGGGAGGCAGAGGCAGGTGGATCATTTGAGCTCAGGAATTCAAGACCAGCCTGGCCAACATGGCAAAACCCTGTCCTACCAAAAATACAACAAATTAGCCAGGCATAGCGGCGTGAGCCTGTAGTCTCAACTACTCGGGAGGCTGAGGTGGGAGGCTGAGGTGGGAGGCTCACTGGAGCCCAGTAGGCAGAGGCTGGAGTAACCCGTGATCATGTGACTGCACTACAGCATGGGTGACAGAACGAGACCCTCTCTCAGAGGAGGGAGGCCGGCCTGGTTCTTGGCTGATGCTTCCTCTACCACTGC